TAAGAAAAATAAATCCTATTTATCGTAGCACAGTAATCCTGAAATTCTAGAACCTTGAATGTATAGATTTTGAGTGGTTACTTTAGATTTGAAGGCTGATTTAGTTTATATCTGAACAGACACTCAGACATACACCCAATTTATGTTTCCCACGCTTCTGAGACTTTACGTAAAATTTTCATTGAACGCGTTTTCCCACCACCACCACTTCCACCGCCAGATAGTAAACGTTAATGCAAATCAACTACGAGGCGTGAACACAATGTGTACTACTAGTTTCTCGGGACGTTGACAGGAGCACCACGAGAATGAAGAAGTGCTGCCGGTGGTGGTGTTCTGGTCCGTCGCGGCCGCCGCCACCGAGCTTACTCTCATAATTACAACAGGCTTTTGTCAATTCTCGCAGCATTTTCCTCCTCCGATCAGGCAGAGGAAAAGAAGAATGGTTCGGTTGAGCGGGGGACCCTAGGAGTCAGTTGTCGGCAGGGAGAATGTCTCTGCATTCGATCCACTCCTCTCTATGACCTCACGACCTCTCTATGCATTTTTGTTAACCATTGGATTTACAATACATAGTTTTCTTATCAAGTTCATTTGCAAGCTTCCTTTGTTTTCAAAAACTTAGTTCCTGAAGACAAATCGCCTAGAAAATAGATAGAAAATAAAATTTAGAACATCGAAGCAGGAATCAGATAACTTGTTGTTTTCCCAGTTTTCGAGTCGAAATGTTACACCCCAAGAAGCTTTGTGTACATCCAAAACATTGTTTTTTTTCGCAAAGCGCGCACAAGAAATCATATTAGTACAACTGACATTCAATCCATTCTTTTTTCATTTTCGTCTCGTTGCTTTGCTCCAACGATACGGCTCACAAATTCATCAGATTTCGTTGCATGGTGCTCATCATCTCAAAATTTTTCTATATTCTTTTCTTTTTGTACGTTTTCATGAACCTCATCTCACTCTCCAAGGCCATATTTACGACAAATTGCTCTTTCTCTATCTCCTCCTTAAACGGCCGGGAGGAGGGCCATTGCGTGTAGATATGCCAAACTGAATTATCGGTATAATCGGGCTCATTAATGAACTTCTTGGAAGAGGAAGAGCACTGCCCCCTGCAGCCCTGTAAACAGATTTCGGGTCCCTAAAATGTTCCCGAGTTCCGACATTGGGTTTTGGTGGTACTTCAAACAAACTTTTTACTTGAAAATTGATTTTTTAAGTTCCTTTTTCTAAGTTCTCAAGTTCAGATAAGTGTAGAACCCTCTTGAAATTTTGAGCATTTTGCAAATGTTGTTTTTCTGGTTCCGCCTTCTGAAAAAAAAACGTACAGCTTTCTTTTCAAAAATTTCTAATCCTAACTTGATCCAGAAATCCTGGATTCTTACAAAACACGCATACACGCTTCTCATCGCGATAATAATAATTTTTATTCTACGCTTTTCTATCTCTTGCTCCCCCCTATCAAATTTGTTTCTCACCGGACTTTCCCAGTGATTAATTAGCAATTCTTCAATTTTGCTACATGATCTCTTGAGCACTGGATGTTGCCAAGATGCACCAGTTAATCCAGTTAGCGAGTCCTCAGTTTCTAATTGGTGTCTCGCGTCAATTTAATCACTTGAGCGGTCATCCGTAACCTTATGTAATTGTCTTCTGTGCAACATTGATTGCCTCAGAATATTTTTTCCTCAACCCTATAATTTTTGTTTCCTCTATTACCACATAGCCATCCTCTTTTTTTTCCCATATCAATTTCGCAAATCTAGTTCTTTATTAACTGGTCACTAGTAGCCGGATACGCTTCCCCCTATTTTTTTTTCCAATGCCGCCTGTCCTTTTCTCCAACATCTGTTGTGTGTGTGTGTGTGCTGCGTGAGGGTAATCTCATATTTCACGTTGTGCTAATCACCTTGTAGAAAAATGAGTGGATAGAAAGAAAGAAGTACTTTCTTCTGTCAAAAACCTTGTTTCTCCCCGAGGAGTGATCCTTCCAACTTTTTCGAGTTTGGGTAGTTTTGCCTAATTAGCATACGCGAGTCATTGTTCATCGGAAGGCGGATTGATGGATGAACACGTTAACAATGTGATGAGTGGGTTTTGAAAAAGCGTAGATGCTTGTGGAGTTCAAGCTCGAAACGTTTTTGTTGAGAAGTTGAGCCTTACATAGAATTTGGAAAAAAACCATATTTACTAAGATAGAAAGCCGCCCAAGCCGTCAACTTTGAGCTCGATTATCTTGATTTCTGTGAAAGATATTAGAAATTTGTCAACAAATAAATTAATTATAAAAAAGTGACCAATATTTTATCAGTTGTCAAGTTGTAGTTATCTTTCACAGAAATCGCGATAGTTGAAGTTCACAGTGGTCGATTTAGGTAGGTTTTTGTTAGAGGAAATACGGTATGTTATAATGATAGCAATGGTTTGAACGACATTTCGTTAAAGAAAATAGTGTGACTTTTACATAGAAAAATTAAAAAATCCATAGAATTTGAAAATTTGCCGACTTTCGAAAGCAAAACTTCTGTAACATTTTTGTGCAATTGATATACAAGTTACGAAATAGCCAAAAATCGCAAAACTGTCCTTGTGTGATTACGTTCGAATTTTGAACTTTATTATCCTCAAAATTAGATTTTCTCATTTTCTCATTTTCACACTCATTTTCATTTCAACTCGTTTTTTTGAAATGGTATAATCAACTACGATGAATGCTTTAAGCTTAATTATCTAGGTACTATGAGAGATATCAAAAAATTTACCTTGTAAATCATTTATCATAACGTTATCAATAAACGGATTTTAGATATCTCTTATAGGAACCGAGATAGTTGAGCTCAAAGTGCACGTAGTGCGCGGCTTCTATTTGAGCATTTACGGTAATTTCTAGATTGATCGTTCCGTCAAGAAAAATTCATTAGCTTGGAAGCATTCAGTCTATTATACTTTTTTCCCTCATCTCTATTCGAAAATGCAAAAAAAAAAGAAAATAAGTTCCATTTTTTCCCCTTTCCCTCGTTTTACCCTATTTCCTCTGAGCACATCTATGATGGACGTTGTTGCACAATGCATCAACGCTTTTGTCCAGTGCGAAAAAAGGACATTTATCTTATCCAGGCGGCTCCTCGTTTTCTGGGACACCAAAAACAAAAACGTGGGTTTTTTTTATCCATCTACTGTCTGTTGCAACTTGTCGTCTTGTCAAAGGCTCAAAAGTTGTCGCGCCGCCTACAAATGAGCATTTTCTTGCTCGCCTCGTCTTTTCGCTACTTCGTTTATCCTAAAACTATTCAATTTTTTTGCGTTTTCTTCCTTCGAGCCATCTCTTTATTTTAGTAGTATGTTTTTATTTTCAACCAATTCTTGCTCCCTTCTAATTTCTATTCCAGCCTTGTTTCTTCTTCTCACTCAATCAATTGCATATTGCCTCGGCGTCTAGTACCCAAAACATCATTAGTGATTCTCTCATAATACGTGTTTATTGAGGTTAGGCTATTAATAATCAAAAATTGAACGAGAGCCAGAGACACCTCAACAAGAGGGGTCCTCCCTATTCCGTGCCCTCTTGAATCACCCGGCCCAATTCTCAATTTGTAGGAGTCTCAAACGACTACATGACTCGCTTTCCCTTTTTCCACGAGCATCTTATTCTGTTCCTCTAATCCCATACCGCTTTTCGTGGTGCCCCCTCACCCCAATAAGCTCTCATGTCAACCACCGTAGAAAGGAGGTCCCCTCCCATTAAAACCTTCACCCCAATATGAGACCCCATTTGTTTTTCTGGGGGCGAAGGATTCTATGAATGTGACATATTGGTTAAATTTTTTTTGAATGCACCGGCTGAGGTCCCAGCTGGTTCGAAAAGTCAGAAATCATTCATTTTTTGGAAGTTTGCAATCTTATTTCGGGATCATTTCAGGCCATTTTGACCATTTCTAAGATTCTGGAGCTTGACTGTCAAGTTTCCGGACACTTCGAAAACTTTCGAGGGTGTAAAACAGACCTAGATAGAAGAATTTACATTCAGAGAATTTTTTGAAAATCCTCAGTTTTAGAGCTATTTGTCTATTTCTGAAGTTCCCCCTTTTTTGGCCTTTTTTGTTTCGAAAACTAGATGAAAAGGTATTTATCAAAAAATCGGCAAATAGCTAAAAAAACTGGGAGTTTCGGAAAATTCTACGAATGCCCAATTTTTGATCCAAATCTGTTTTACACCTTTCAAAATGTTCAAAGTGGCCGGAAACTTGGCAGACGAGCTCCAGACACCTGAAAATGATTAGATTGGCCGAAATACAATTGTAAAGAATGTTTTTGCATACTTGTAACGGGCCGGGCCGGGCCGGACTTTTCCCCGAATTTCGGAGGCCCGGCCTGGCCCGGCCCGGCGGGCCTGTCATTCCACAAATTTCGAAAGTTTCAAAAAACACCGAGTCGGAATTTTACAAGTATGTGTTTTTGTATATTTGCTGTATGCACTTCTCATTAAAACTGGTTCTTACCCTGTCAATTTTCTCACTTACTGTATAATCATACGGTTCCTACGTCTGGGAACCAAAAGCTTTCCCCTCCAATCATTCTAAACGAAAAAATTTAATGAGAGACTACCTCCCGGTTAGCTTGGGTCCCGCTGGGGAGGGGAGCGCCTTTAACTTTTTGCAATGTGAGAAATGTGTGTGTGTGTGTTTGCGTCTTGCGCTTCCACATCATCATTTCTTATCCCCAAAAATTTTCGCGCTTCTCAACTTTCTCTCGTTTCTCGCCCAAATGATTGAGCACCAAAACAATCGGAAGATATCGGACAGCTGGACGTGTGTCCTGGCTCGAAGAAATTACCAACTCGTCCCCAAAGGGCGGGGGGTCCAACAAAAATGTCCGAGACAAAAAACCTTTTTTCAATAATGTTGCGTGATGTCCTTTTCTCTTTATCCAAGCTTCTTTATTATTCTTTCTTTCAAGCATTTTTCTTAGAAGATGTGATATAAAACATTTCAGGCAGAATGGTACGGTGGCTATTATGGCCACTGTTTGTGCTTCAGTTGGTCATTTGCCAACAATTGCAGCAACGAATAGTGGAAGCACCAAAAGACACACTAGCCGCAGTTGGAGAAACTGCCATTCTGACATGTCGAGTCGAACATCAAGTAAGTGTGATCAGTGAGCTTTTTTGAAAACATGAATAGCATTTGGTCAAAGAAAAGTTCCGTGTGTAGGAAATCTTTGATTGGGTTAGAGCACATTTGCATGAATTGAATAAAAAATAATTTTTAAAAAAATGACGTTCTTGATTTTGCAGCAAGGACCAGTTCAGTGGATGAAAGATGACTTTGGATTGGGTACCGATAGAGACAAACCGCTGCCGGGTAATAAGAGATATCGGATGGTGGGAAGTGCGGCAAATGGAGAGTATAATTTGGAGGTAGGGGGTTTTTTGAAATTAGGATTTTTTGAACATTTGAATTTTGCTTTTTTGGTAGTATTTAAAACATGAAAAAAATTTTAATTTCTAAAAATTTATATTTAAAATTTAAATGATGCTTCAGACCTAGCAAATTCAGAAGTATGTAAATTACCGTCAGATGAAATATATAACAACATATTTTTCAGGTAATTTTCAATCATTTTGACCATTTTCAGGAGTATGGAGCTTGAATGTCAAATTTCTGATCACATTGAAAGTCTTGAAGAGTTCAAAACACATCTAGATCAAAAACTGAATTGGCAGAATTTTGAAAAAGTTCTAGTTTTTCAGATTTTTGTTGATTTCCGGAAGACACCTGTTTTTCACATTTTCCGTACAAAAACTAGCTGAAATGGCTGTTTTTCAAAAACCGACCAACAGATGAAAAACTGAAAATTTTCGAAAAAAATCTGTGAACACAAAGTTTTTAATCTAGGTCTGTTTTACACCCTTCAAAATTTTCAAAGTAATCGAAAACCTGACAATCGAGCTCCATACTCCTGAAAGATGTCACAATGGCCAAAAATTAATCGAAGATTAATTTTTTTTATATCTCTCGGACCGTTTCTGTACATAAATAACATTCAAATTGTGCTTCAGACCTACCAAAATTTATCGTAGATCAAATTCCATTTAGCGAATCTTATATTGATGAGATAGCCCGCGAAAGATATTTTTAAACAAAATGCAAACCTATTTTTAACATCAATGCCATTTTTTCAATATTATTTTTCCAGATCTCGAATGTCACACTTTTTGACGATGACGACTTTGCTTGTCAAATTTCGGAATCCGACCACGCCAAGGCAGTTGTCTCAAGTAAAGCAAAGCTCACTGTCCTAGGTATGTTTGATAGTGCGAATTCCTAAAGTCCAGCGACTTTACACTGGCTTGATTTTTTCTCCGTGAAAAATTGTTTCACACAATCTCAAATTTCCCGGTTTCCCATTCTTTTTCAAAACTTCGAAAACTTCATTCTTGATTAACTTGCTATGAAAATGAAATGACAGATCGGCGCGTCGCGCGGTCACTGCCAATTAATGTCATCATAAACGTGTCCACACTGCCAGCGCCAATTTATCTCTGAAGTGGCAGTTGAAGGGGGTACGCATCGCCCAATCCGCGCGGTTGTCGTTCACCCCGTGGCTCTCCTTACCACCATCCGATTTGCCCTGCTTCTTCTGATATGGTCCAGAGGAAGCAGCTGCTCTATCGGTGTTGAGATGGAACACACAAACAACGCCGCTTGTGGGCCGGCCGGGGATTGATTTCTGGGACCGGCGGCGGTGTAAATCTCATCGTCGGTGTCATTATTCAAATAATGCGGGCTGGTGTGGTGAATATTTTCACATAGGCAGATAGGAGGAATGAGAATCGGAAATTAGAGGGAAAAAGAGGACCACAATAACAATTTTTTTTATTTTCAGTCCGACCGACACCTCCGAAAATTGTCAAGAGTCATCACTCTCTGAAAGCCATCGCTGGAGATCCCATCACACAATCATGTCTATCCAGGAAAGGAAAACCTCCACCAACCATCGGATGGGCCATCGCGTCAGATGAGCATGGAAAACATATTATTGCATGGCTCGGAGAGTCAAGGTCAAAATTTGGAGGAATTCATGGTAAAAATAACGGGCAACTGAAAAGGAAAATGAAGATTCTTTCAGCAAAACCAGAAATCTCTCAAGAAACCGTGATTGCTCATGTAAACGAGACAACTCAAGTTGAGGGAGGAGAACACAAGTCTCGTGAGGACTCCAACATCTACAGTATCATGAGCAATTTGAGGTAAAATTTGAAAAATGTGTTTTTTCAAAAAATTATTTTTCCGAGAAGGAATTTCGAAAAAGTGGAAAAATCGAAATTTTTGTGACTTTCCAAAAAAAAATTTTAGCCAAAATTAATTTATCAGGTTTCAAAAATTTGCTGGAGCTTTTTTAGGTTTCGAAAAACCTTGTTTTAGAAGAAAGGGAAGGCGGAACATTCTTTGAGTTTTTTTTTGGATTACGGTATGCATTTCGGCGGGACTGTGTACTGTAATTAATGCCAAGACATCGCGTAGTAGTAATCATATACAGTACCTGTCACGAAAATGTATGCAAAACCGTATTTTTCCGTCACATTTCGGCAATTTTGGCCATTTTCGACATTCTTGATCTCAGCTGTCAAGTTTCCGATCACTATGAAAATTTTAGAAAGTGTAAAACAGACCTAGATTTACAAATGTTTCCTGAAAATTCCTTGTTTTTACACTATTAACCGATTTCTGAAAAAAAAACTGTTTTTCACGTATCAGCACAAAAACGCGCCAAAAATGGGTGTCTTTCAGAAATAAGCGAATAACGGAATAACTAAGAGTTTTTTGAAAAATTCTGTGAATAGATAGATCCTAATCTAGGTCTGGTTTACACCCTCCCAAGTTTTCAAAGTGATCGGAAACTTGACTACCGAGTTCCAAACTCCTAAAAATGGTAAAAATGACAGAAAATTATAATTTTTTTCAGTTTCATCCCTCGACCCGAAGACGATCACAAATATCTCGTATGTATCAGTCAACATATGACATTCCCCAACAAGGTAAGAACGAAAAAATAACAATATATTTTCGTGAAACACTAATTTTCATCTTGACCCTGTCTACTCAGATCGAAGTGGATTCTGTCAAACTGGCACTACGCTACGCGCCTCAAATCAATCTTACTATTGCATCGAAAATTCCGTTGAGAGAGAATGGATCGGCGCTACTCGCATGTAATATCAATGCCAAACCATTAGATAACGTCAAAATCAACTGGTACAAGGGCAACCAAAAGTTGCGAGAAACTGGAGACGTATGTTGTGAATAAAGGGGAATGAAATGTTGAAAATTTTCAGACTCTCACCTTTGAAACGTTGAAAATGGAAGATCATAATAGAGATATCTATTGCGAGGCTACAAATGAGATTGGTACTACTCGTGGCTCAATTAAGCTTAATGTTGCTTGTAAGTTCCCTTCTTTTTAGATGGTCTTTTTTGAAACAGAAATGCTTTAAAACTTTTTTTTTGATGCGTCAGCAGAGCAGAAAAGTTCTTTCGTCACAAGAGCACAAAAGTAGCTCAACCGATGAATCTTGGATGTTGCTATTAAATTATTCAGCTTGGCTAATTCAATGACCATGACCCAAGTTCGCGATGTTTCCAAAAGAAACAGATAAATCACAAACAAAAATAACCGTTTTTGCAGTCGGCGCACGTATCATGTCAACATCACAGGATAAGGAAGTGAACGAGGGCGACAACGCATTCTTCCATTGCGCAACACTGGCTAATCCGGCGCCAGCAATTTACTGGACGCGAGGAGATAGTGATGAGATTATTGGGCACGGAGAGAAGTGCGATCTGGGAATTAAGATACCTTAAAAATAATAAAACATTACAGTTTAACACTGGAGAACGTGAGGACGTGGCAACAAGGAAACTACAATTGTACGGCTACTGTAGATGGTTTCAGAAAACAAGTCCTTTCTCATTACCTGCATATCAGAGGTTGGCGACTGACAGCTAATCTTGAGATCTTAAGTATTTATAGGGCCACCAGCGGTTTCTATGAGAGATGAGGTGTCAGCTTCACTCGATGAAGCAACCGAGATTATATGTGAGATTAGTGGAAGACCCAAGACTAATAATGTCAGATGGACATTAAATGGAAAGGAGATTAACTTTAACAATGGGAGGATTACGGTAAGTTATACAATGAAGATTAGATTCTTTCGAAGAGCTTCGAAAAATGAATCACCAAAAAATGTCTTTTTCAGGTTCACCAGTACCCGAAACCATATGGCAAGGAAAGTATTCTAAAAATCAAAGATCTTAAAGAAGAAGATTTTGGTGTGTACAACTGTTCTGCAAATAACGGACTGGGATTCGACAATCGAGGAGCGCTGCTCAAAAAACGAAACTTGTTTGATTGGATTGGTATGTACTACTGTATATCCAGTGCCATTCAATACGATGTATAGAAACAAATGTTTAAGATTTTTGTACATTTTCAGAAGTCTGTAGTTCAGCTGTCAAGTTTCCGATCACTTTGATAATGTTGGAAGCTGGGAAACCGACTTACATTTAGATCAAAAACTTTGAATTCGCTAATTTTTTGACAATTCCTAGTTATTCAGCTATTTTCCGACTTCTGAAAGAAGTCTGTTTTTTTCTCGTTTCCAGTACAAAATCAAGCCAAAAAAGGTGTTTTTCAGGAATCGGCAAGTTTCTGAAAAGCTGAAAATTTTCAAAAAAAATATTTGAATGCAAAGTTCTCAATCTAGGTTTTTTTTTTCACACTCCAAAGTTTTCAAAGTGATCCAAAACTTAACAGCCAAGCTCCAAACTACTGAAAATACCAAAAATCAACCGAAAAATAGGTTTTCGTATTTCTGATTGAACGTTACTGTATATCTAGAAGTTTAACACCTCACTATATATTTTCAGTGATTACAGCCAAGTACGACCGCATGGTGGCCCTTGCAATTCTCAGCGCTGGAATTCTGTTGGCTTCCTTGCTCTGCTGCCTTGCATGTGCAGAAATTGCAGATCGAAGAAATCAAAATTCATTGGTTAGTTGATTTTTTTTGACTACGCAGATGCTTTTATTTGCAACAAATTTCAGGTTCAGATGACCAATCTGACGTCACTGTGAAGTGCGAGGCTTTGGATGGACAATATTTCCCGGAAATGTACAGTAGCAGTCCAGTGGATAATGTTCATTTGTCAACCAAGGTTTGACATAAATAGAATCTTTAAAAAAAACGGTTTTCAATTTTTCTGTTTTTAGGATTACATCTCCATCCCACAAAACAATCCGGATTTGGACTTCCTCGCAGCAAATGGCTCTTTCGGCCCGCCCGGAGGACTTTATCCGAAATGTGTCAACAACTCGGCAAATGAATACATCTACAACCGGTATGAACACTCATATGGATCGTTTGGAAGTGGACTATCAACGCCTGGAGGTACTAACACCGCATCTCCCATCTGTGTGCTTAACCAATTATTCCTCTTCTTATTTCAGGAATTTCAGATATGTACGGTGTAGCCATGGGGGACAAATTGCCGGTGATGGAGACGTTGCAAGAGGTGGAGACTCCCAAGACGTCTAACTACAATTTTCTGTCATCGCCGGACGTGGTCCGACCCATCAGCCGAACATCGACACACGTGTAGTATGAAAAGAAACTTCCTGGTGCCAATATAATTATACCATGTTTGTAAAAAACTTGTACTGTTTAAAAGTGCATATTTTTCTTCCCTGTTTACCACTTCTATCTCTTCTTCTCATCTTTTTTTGGTTCGTAAACCTTCCGCCCTTTTTTTCTCATTCATTTCCCCCCTCTCGACTCTGAGAAGATAAATCAAAATGATGCTGTGTCATGAACTTCCGTTCTACTCCTCGTTTTTTTCTCTGTAGCCCTCCTCATTTATTATCTAAAACTCTAAACGGGTCTCTCTTGCCATTCTTCATCCTTTTTTTGACCCACCAATCGTTTTTCCTTCGGCGGCCTCTCCTCCTCCCCTTCTCATTGACCCCCCCCCCCCCCCCCGGCCTCCCTTTCTCAAGATGGTTTTCCTCTGTACAACAACTATAAATTATTAACGGCCATTATATCCCCGTTTTCAAAACTCACCTCCCCTTGAAAACCGAATTATTGTTCCGCGCTGTTTTTGCAAGCCCTCCCCTTCTCCCCGTCCCCGAATGCATTCTAGTCAAATCTGCAATAAAGTATTACACGTCAAGATCGAAGCTTGAAGGTTTTGCAACAGGTGGTTTTGTTTGGAAAAGTGCATTATGGTCATGAATGGGGAACTGCTATTTCTGTTGCTCGAAATTTTAATTTCAGCAGATTACTTTAGATAGAATCGGCAGTTTTCAACTATCACCTTCAATAGATGGGTTCAATAACGTTCAATTTTGAGCCATTTTATCTCAATACCTGTCAAAGAAAAATTGATGACATTGTCATGATCATGCTATCAATTAACACATTTTTCATATCTCTTAAAGAAATTGAGCTGAAACTTGAGATCAAGGAAAAAACTGTATCTCTGTTTGTTGTGAGGCTTCTTATGTGCTCCCTGTTACATTAGATCCCATCTTCTCCTTGTCAACTCATTAGCGTCAATTCTTGATCGTGATTTATAGCGGGTACTTTTTCAATCTTGTGGTCCCCATCAGCTTCTATCACTTACTCTCCACTTTTTCATTCGCTTGCGGTTTTTCTTCTGAGCACTGGTGTCCTACGAGATTCTTTTCAATTCAAAAAAAAACGTAAGTTATTTGCAAATTACAGCTTCTGACCAAAAGCATATTGTTTTGATAGTGTGTCCCATTTAGTCTAATTTTGGAACAACACAATCACTGACTTCATCGTATTAGAAGCCATTCTCAGAAAGCACTACTACTCTTTGTTCTCAAAAAACTTCCATCCAATCCCATAGAACATTATCCCCTTCGCTCATTTGCCTAATCCGGTACGTCACGCGGTTAGCGCCATGGCTCCTGCGCGCGGGTCCGCTGCTCTATAATTGGTATAGGTGCCTCCGGCCTCATTTTGAATGAGAAATCTTCTTGCTATTTTATTATATCCTGTTCCGATAGACGGAGATTTTTGAGCAGATGGTTATGCGCGTGGACTAATTAGTCATAGCATTAGGTTATGCATACCTTCTCTGGGATGAATACAGGAGCTTTAGGCCCAGATCCGAAAAATGACGGGGTTACTCCCTTCTCCAAAATTCCGAAAATTCAGATACCGTAAGCAAAAGCCTGAAGCTATTTCAGATTCATGGCATTTTCAGCTTTAGTTAAAAAACTACAGTAATCCTATTCCGCTCCTGCTGAAAAACTTCAATTATCATTAAGAAATGATGTTTGAAATTTGGCAAAAGTTGAATGAAAAATTAGGGGTTAAAAAACTATAATAACTTCGGTGCATGAGCACCCAATAACTTTTGGTTTTTATGCCTTTAATCAAGGCTTATGTTGAGGTTTGCTGGTCAATTTAAAAACTTTGAGCCAAATTATCTCGGTTGCTGTCAAAGATATCGCAAAGTGGTAAACTGATAAAATGTTTATCATAATATCACTTACATTTTTTTAGTGAACAACTTTGTCTCATCTCTCAAAATAACAGAGATAATTGAGCTTAAATTACAAGTAAGAGATGGGCCTCTATCAAAGGAAATACTGTAACTATTTCAATAAACTTATACACCAGCTTCCTTCCTCCCAAACGTCTAGTCTCAAAGTCTTGGTTCCCACGCCTCTCCCTCTAATGCTCTTCAATTCATCAAGTCGACTTTTTAAAGTCTCAGGGCTCAAATCTGACCTCAACCCGTCATCTTCCCGCTCAATCAAACTTTTTTGCACCTCTTGACATTCATTTGATTTATTTCCATCTTCAGTTTTCGGCTTCAATCATGCCGCAAATTCGAATCAAAAAGTGTTTCATTCCTCGCCCTCTCACATGAGTAACATTTTTTTGCTTTTTTTGCTTCCAGCTTTTCTGTAATGACGTGTTTTCCGGATAGCTATATGTTTGATCCGTGGGATGAAAAAGTGCAGAAATGCTTTGGGTGGCATACTGTACTGTGCAGAAAAAAAAATTCAGAATATAAAAAAAAAAGTTTTTTTGTTTCAAAAATCTAAAACCAAGAAGAGATAAAAATGATAAGGCTTCCAGATCTCAAAATCTCGAAATCTTCACATGTTCTTAAAATCGCTTTTTAATTCCTTAATACCCGAAAATATAAGGAAGCCCTATTTGATAGAAAACTGCTCCAACAATTTTTCTCTGACACGTTCTACCCATCCTCTTTGATGTATGGTGCTCTCAACAGGTGCAACATGTTCTTCCTCTTCTTTCCTAAAAGCTGATTTTAGGTCATTCATAATTGTCCAATTTCCACAAAAGGTTCTTTTATGGTCTTCACCCTCTCCCTCTCACCCAAATGACCATTCGTTTCGTTTAATGTGACTTTTTTTCATATAAATGACAGGTTCCCATTTCCTCCTCTTCTTTCTTTTTTTCGTTCTCTCTTTTTCCAAACCTAGGTCATTAGAAATTATGTGAACCGCCCGAGAGTCTGCCTTACCATTCCTGTTCTGTTCTTTTTTTCTTAATCAGTGACAGTCAGATTATATTTTACATTTTTTATCAATGCACCTTTGGTCAGTTTCCGCTTCTTTTTAGGAAACTTGGAGTTCTCTGATTCACCAATTTAGAAAAAAGAAAGAAACACGAAGTAGAAAATAGAAAAAAAAACGGAATGCGCGGACGTCCGAGAGCTCACCATTACAAAAAAAAAGCGGTGGCAGAAAGTTTTTCAAACCAGAATCTTTTTTTTCCATGTTTTAGAATATATTTAGCATATTTCTTTTCTCACCGGCGGCATTCTCTCATTACTTTTTCATCGGCCATGACACCTAGGACAATCCTAACCATTATTTTTTTTCTGTTGCGTGTTTCCGCTTCTTCCATTTCTTCTTTCCCCTCAAAAAGGGGTCATTTGGGAATACCAGCACAATAAAAAATCTGCTGGAAGAAAATAGAAAAAAGAAGAAGAAGGAAAGAAAAAAGGGTCAGAGTTCCGTCGACTGGTTTCAAAATGAGTTGGGGCGGGAGAGGAAAAAAATCATCGACATGATTCTCATCTGTCATTCTTTCTTTTTTCCAACCCCTATCCTTCATGCTCTTCTCCTCTACTCTTGACCCGTCACAATTTCCGTTTTGCACTTTTTCATTTCGTCCCTATCATCAATTTGATTTGAAGAACTTGCACTTTTAAAAGAGAGATCTTAGGTCTTGTACAGATTTGGGAGGAAGAAATGAGTCAGAATTGCTAACACCTGTGTGCTTAAACATGTGGTAGAATGTGCTGCCCCCTTTAAAAGTGCAAGCGGTCATTTCTCACCCTAGCTCTTTTCGCATTGAACTCTTTTCTGATAGAACGGGGCGTGTGCCATTGACCGATCAAAAGCAAAAAAGGTCTTATCACATACTATCATTTCCTGGATGATCTGTCCCTCCTTATTTAGAAGTTTCAGGCTCCGGACAGGGATGTTCGGAATGATATTTGTCGGAATGTCGAAAATTCGCTTTCAAAATTTTAGGAATTTCGGAGTGTTCCGATTTATGAACTTTTGGGTTTTTGGAATCTTGGAATTTCCCGATTTTTGAAAATAAGGAATTCCGGAATTTCGAAGTATTCCGATTTTGAAATTTTCGGAATTCCGAGTTCCGTTCCGAACATTCCTGGTTCCGTTGGAACTTTTCGAACTTTTTCCTTCTATCACTTTTCACTTATGTGCTCGAACTTTTTTCTCTTCTTTTTTTTGCTTCTCCTTCTCCTAAAGTCATTGAATAATTGAGTTGAGAGCTCCCCCAAAAGTTCTTTTCCCCCAAACGACACACATATTCAATCAAGTCTCTATGTCATTAAATTTATTTTTTTCTTCATCTTTTTCTTCAACTCCCCCCTTACCCGAAATTGTCTCTCTGAACTGCAAAAAAAAGAAGATGGCAGAAAAGCGGAAGTCAATATCAGTAAAGATAGCGTTCAGGGATGCAAACCTACAATTTCCGGCCAAGTCCCGGATTATCCGCGCCTCGATTTCTGTCAGAAGCCGCTAAAAGTGCAAAAGGGGAGTAGGGAAAGAGAAATGAGCAAAAGTTGTGTTGGTCAAGAGGAGCCCCAAGGCTCGAGGGTGCATTTTTTATGACTTTGGCCGCTTCCATTCATTCATCAAATGTTTGAGATTCCCATTTCTTTATTTAGCATATCCTTCTGTGGAGTTTCCTTTGAATTAAAAAAAAATAGCATCAATTTTGAGTTTTGTGAAAAAGCGTGAGTATCTGGCCATCAGCATGAGTCAATTTCACTTTTTATCACGAAAAAAGTGTGTTGGAGGACGAGTATAAAAAAGTTTGTTGGAGGAAAAGTACTTGATAACGCAAGTGTGCTTTTTTATTCCAGCCAAAAAAGGGCAACATTATTCCAAAGACTCCTTTCTATGAGGAATTTCTTTTTCGATAAATTTAATTGTAGGAAATTGAGACTAATTATCTATTGAGAAAAAGAAAGAACTGGAAATGAGATAGATTTTTTCATGCACAATTTTCTTCGAAGCTCTGATGACCGGAAATTTGCGGGGTAGAGAAGTTTTAGAGAGAGAGAGAGAAAAGGAAAAATTGAAGACAGATAGTTCTCTTCCTAGACAGGAAGCGAGAGTTCTCAAGTTCGGATTCAGTTCGGGTTACTGTAGAAAATGCTTTTTTAAAAAGTTTTTTTGTCTTTTAATTTTTTGTTCTATGAATTGTTGTCCTTTGGATTACTGTAACTTTTCAGAAAAATTTATTTTCTAATAAAGTTAGATTCTTTTTCCTTTTCTCTCTTATTCTTTTTAAACTTTCGATATATGAATAAGCAAAGAGGAGAGTGTGTTGCTAAGTTCCCAAAAAGAGGAAGAGCTTCCCGAGTCACATTTATGCTGCTCACAGATCCCACCTTCTCTAAAAAGTTAATCTTGACTTTTTAGAATTTGGGTTCCTTGTGAAATGTTTTTGAGATAGTTCAAAAATTCTCAAAAAATTTAATTTTCACATTTTTACAAAAATTATAAAACTATTTTGTATTTTTTGCTTTTCTCTATCTCTACGATCCTCTCTTTGTTTCCTTCCCCATTTTCCTTTCCTTCCAAAAATCCGACTGAAACGGGACAATTTAGCGTAAGCTCTTTACTACGGGGCTCACATGACGTAGGCGGAGATTGAGGAGAAAATAGAGATCTAAAAGAACGGGTTGGAATGTTTGAAGCTGGCCACGCCTTTCTTTTCCCGCGCCTTTTCCTTATTCCTTTTGAATGCGTGTTCAAGAGCTGTGAACTACGGTAGGTGCACTTCTAATAGCCGCAAAAATTGAGAATAATACTAGTTTTCTGAAATTCACGATTGCCTTGAAACCTGTAATATAACGGCTCCAAACTTTTAACCTTGAGCTAAGTTATCTCGATTCCTGCCAAAGATACGAAAAGCTGTGAATTGTTTTTCGTAATCTCAAAAATTTTTTATTTGTTGTCACATTTTTGATACCTTTCACAGGAAATGAGATATAAGGGCTCAAAGTTGGCGGTTTAGAAGATATTCTATTAGAGTCCATGTTTACGGTATGCTATTTTATGTTCACTTACTGAGGGATTTTGATTTTAAGAGCCTAAAACTGATAAATGATAAACCCAGGACAGCTTATTTTGTTATCCCTGTAACTAATTCTCGGATTCTTCAGTATTTTTCTAGTTTTTGATATATCGTCTTTTTTCCAAATAAGTCGCCTACAAAAAACTACTGTGGCGCGGAATTCCTATTTCCATTTTTCGGTTTTTTTTTTAATTTTTGAGTCACACTGTAATTCTTACAAAATTCATTTTCAGCCTCTAAACGTCATATGATCTATTTTCTCGCATGCCAGTCGAACACAATTGTTTCTATTCCCAATTTCTCAATTCTAGCCAAATCATCAGCATTTTTAAAAGCTTTTTTCTAGATAAAAAACTATTTCTGATTTTTTTCCTCCTCTATCCTCGTGATTTTGTCTGACTAAAATGTTTTATATTTTTTGTTCTAAAATTGTAAGAATGATTTCCGACTTGAATTACTGCTCCCAGAGTTTTTTTTTTGGGATTACGGTAGTTTTATATGTGTTCTGGTCGGTGTATTCTATTTCCATTTCTAATTTCGTCCTGTCTAGAGCATGAATAAAGCTGCTCGTTTGTTGCCTAGTTCCAAAAGAGAGCGAGAAGAGTCCAAAAGAGAGCGAGAAGAATCCACCAAGATCTTTCATTTTGTGAGAAGCAGAGAACAATACTAGGAATGACTAGATCAAACTCTCCAAAAATGTGAAGTATAGTTCTTGAGAATCTTAAGCTAGCCTCCAACTAAAAACTTCAGAAGATAGAAATTTCCGAAATTCCCATGAACTTCTAAATGTCCTTTGGTTTTTAATTTTTTACGGTCACAATCCAATTTACTATTTCCCATCATTTTTCAATTTTCCTTTCACTGAATGTCAGCGCCTCGTGCTTTTTGAGGGCCCGTGGGCGCAGACAATGTTAATGACATTTTTGTGCTCTTGACGTATTTTACCGTATGCTTCCTGTAATTTTTTACGGGATTCAAGAATGGGACACGTAAGAGAATAGCTGGAGCTGCGAAGTGACCTTGCTCTTTGACATCTGTAATAGGTATTACTGGATTCCGAGCCCCGTTTCTCAAGGAAAACTGCTTCAAACTGGATTTTCGATTTTTTAAAGAAATTGATGCATTAAGAACATTGCCATTTTTGAGTTGTATGAATCAAAACACTGTTTTGTTCCAACTGATCAGTAACCTCTTGAGAACAAAGATTTCATCAAAACGCTGAGTTTTTATAATTTTAGTCAATCAAGCTCTAGTCGAACAAAACAACGAAAATGTGACATAGTGACTAATATCCGGTTCGAAACAATTCTCCAGAGAATAAAGATTAGTCATATGAATCTATTTTTTTTTCGAACCAGTTTTATTGTGAAATTTCGCTTATTCTTCATCATTTCTCCTGTTTTCTGTTCATTCCGTCCTTTTCTCGTGCAATATTTTTCTTTCTGTGTTGACAGATAATTTGTGAAAATAGGTTAAACCTTATGTGGATTACGGGAGTTATTTCGAGTAATAGATTCCGAATAATTTATGTATTCCACTACTTTTCTAATTGACTCGGCTAGACAACAAAAAAGTATTCCAAGAGAATTTCAAAAAAAAGGGTAAGAAAAAATTATTTCTTTTTAATTAAATTAGCTAGCCGCTTTTACTTTTCTGAATTATGTATGAATGTCTCAAGTCTTACACCCACTTAGATTGGAGTCAAGTGAGATTTCAGTCTAAAGAATTTATAGAGTACAGATAACCTCTGAAAATTGTAATGTGCTTATGAACTTGTGATACGGTTGTGACTCAACTTTTGAATAATTTGATCAGAAAGCTGCTACAAATTTGTTATTGAATTCACTTTTTTGTAGAAAAAATTTAATTGAAAAATTTTCTGATTTGTTCTCTTTTCTTCGAATTCAAATACAATGGGATTACTCTTCGTCAAAAGTACAAATTGTGAGATTTAGAGATTGATCAGAATCTCAGAATCTCAGAATCTCAGAATCTCAGAATCTCAGAATCTCAGAATCTCAGAATCTCAGAATCTCAGAATCTCAGAATCTCAGAATCTCAGAATCTCAGAATCTCAGAATCTCAGAATCTCAGAATCTCAGAATCTCAGAATCTCAGAATCTCAGAATCTCAGAATCTCAGAATCTCAGAATCTCAGAATCTCAGAATCTCAGAATCTCAGAATCTCAGAATCTCAGAATCTCAGAATCTCAGAATCTCAGAATCTCAGAATCTCAGAATCTCAGAATCTCAGAATCTCAGAATCTCAGAATCTCAGAATCTCAGAATCTCAGAATCTCAAAATCTCAGAATCTCAGAATCTCAGAATCTCAGAATCTCAGAATCTCAGAATCTCAGAATCTCAGAATCTCAGAATCTCAGAATCTCAGAATCTCAGAATCTCAGAATCTCAGAATCTCAGAATCTCAAAATCTCAGAATCGTTCTAGATGTATTGTTCTTTTTCTATGTTGGTTACTTTCAAATGTACTGAAAATGTCGAATTCGCATAGTGTGACTGTACATAATTGGGACCAATTTCATAACACCAATTTCATAAAAATTAGCCCCATTTTTCGAAAATTTCACTTTTTTTGCTTCATTTTTCTTTTCCCCACATTTCTTCCTTTTTGAAATTTCCTATCCTAGTTCTCCTGAGATACTCTTGGGAAAGTCAATCTGTTCTAAATTTGGCTATTCAAAAAGCGGATTACTCAGTTCAAGCTATAAAAATTGTATTCCAATTCTGATTACTTTTTCTCTCTGATGAATCTTTTCTGGTTCTGGTTTTCTAAGTAACATACATTTTGAATTTTTCAAAAATACTGTAGTCTTATCATCCCTCAGTTCTAGCTACCGAGTAACAAAAATTCTGTTTAAAAGAATATTTTCAGTACAATGTATCTCTCGCAGTGTCCATTCTCTTGACCACCGCTAATCCAATTTTAAGCCGCTTTCGGAACATTATACGACAGAAAAAAATGCAACGAAAGCTAATTAAATCAACTATTGGGTTATTTTTGATGTTACACGTTTTCTTAGCTCTTTGTAATACGTTCCAAAAAACAAAAAGTGCTTTTGAATACGAGATTCTTAATTTGAAATTTTTTCTAGGATTAGGATTATGTTTTTCTTCTTACCTGTTTTTTCTCATCTGTAACGGGGGGATGAACACTCAATAAGAGCCAAAAAGGAACAATCCGTACTAATGAGATATTACTAATCAAGCAAAGCGCCAGTCATCAAAGCCAATCGCTCTCCAAGGAACACCAAATCCTATCTATTTCTTTTCTTTTGTGACTAATCCCACTTTGCTCATTCTTCTTCTTCTTTTTTAGTAATTTTTTTCGCATGTCAGTTTTTGGTCTTTTGATAATTTTAAAAACAAACTATTCAGATGTCTACTCTATCGACATCTGAGCCAAATGCTCAGAATCTTGTGATGGGTACAGCTCCAGAATCGGGTGAGCTTCCAGCTGGACGCTTCGGAACTATCTTCCTGGGTTTCATGGGAAATTCTTTGTTGCCGGTGGGTTCTTTAGGATCGATAATAAGAAACTAACTAAGCAACTTGACAAGGGAATTTGAACACTTCACAAACCCAGATATTGATGAAAATATTTCAGGATGGATCGGAAATCGCCTACCTAGACGTTTCTGAAAATGTTAGAATCCGGCCGCCAGTTTCAGCCGAGTTATATCAGTTTCAGTACCAAAAATTGCCTTTTCAGTGTGAAAGTAGCATTTTCAAAGACGGGTTTCTCAAGTTCTAGGACGTTTCAAAGCATGAAATTTGTTATACTCAAATTTTGATGAAACTTGTATTTCATACTTTTTCACAATTTTTTTTTCAATTTGCGAAGAAATCTGGAAAATCGTCAACAATTCAAAAATAAAAATATTTTTGTTCTTGAGAAAAGTATGAAATATCAAATTTTATCAAAATTTGAGTATAACAAATTTCATGCTTTGAAAGATCCTAGGACTTGAGAAAATCGGTTTTGAAAACTATGCTTTTGCACTGAAAAGGCAATTTTTGGTACTGAAACTGATAAAACTCGGCTGGCGGGCGGATTCTAGAATTTACAGAGATGTCTAGATAGGCGATTTTCAACCTATCCTGAAATTTTCATCAATATCGGGGTTTGTGAGGTATTGAGGTTCCCTTGTGAAGTCAATGTTTTTTAATAAAACACGTTGTTTCAGATCACGGTCAAGAAATACAACGGAGTGCGTCGTGAGAAGGGAAGAGGAGTCTCCATCACCAAGAATCTGAGCATTCGTCACCCAGAGGCGCCGACAAATTACTCGGTATGATGAATAAGCCCCAACAAAACATATTGGTAGAATTTCAGGTTGAAAAACTCACCAATCTGGTTCAAATCGTATTGGAGGAGCCGAAGAAGTCGTTGCATGGTGAGTCATAAGTTACATAAGTTATATAGATTTTGGAGCTAGTCTCTAGGGCATTCTTCTAGTTTTTCTGGAATGGTAATATGCAGTTAAAGAAGAGTTTTACGAAAAATATAATTTTCTTGAAATTTGGTTTAAATGAGTCTCTCGAGGAGTTGAATTTCTTTGTTTAACATTGGGGATACCGCGCTGCTATCAGCTGAGCTACAGTAGCGCAAACTAAAAAAGCCGCTTGATGACATACAGTACCACGTCGAAAATTTTGAAGGGTGTAAAACAGACCTAGACTAGAAACTTTGCATTCACAGAATATTTTGAAAATTCCTAGCTTTTCAGTTATTTCGTTCTACAAAAACAGGCAAAAAGGCTTTCAAAAATCGACAAATAGCTGGAAAACTAGAAATTTTCAGTTCTTCAAATGCAGTTTTCAATCTACGCCTGTTTTAGGTACTTCAAAATTCTCAAAGTTATCGTAAACTTGACATTCGAGCTACAGACTCCTGAAAATCGTCAAAATGACCGAAAATTAACTAAAAATGATTTCTGTATATCTTATTGGCCGGTACTGTAAATCAAACATTTTCAGATGACATCGCCTTCCATACTATGTACTATGACGAGCAAATCAAAATTGTCACATGCCAGGTAGTCAAAGCTTTGGATTACTTGCTCACCCAAAACATTTCCCATGGATTCCTTCATGTAAGCCGTACTACAAAACTACAAATCACAAAACCAACAAAATTATGCTTTTCAGACGAAGAACATCTTCATTGACAAGTACCAATTGGTAAAAATCACCGATGAGCAAAGCGATGACAGTCTCCACGACGACATGTCGGTTCAGAACATTCAGTTCATTGCGCCAGAATTGGCTGCACAGGAGTACACCATCACCCCAGAGTGTGATATTTGGAGCCTTGGAGTGATCATGTTCGTGATGGCCACCGGCTGCACACCATTCAATGGGGAGACTTTTGAAATTTTCATGTGCAACATCCAAAATGGAAGCTATCAGCTCCCAGTCAAGTGTTCCGATAAGGTCCGCGAATTGATCCAAAATATGATCAAGGTGGATGCTTCCGAGAGGCTCAAGTTGGTGGATCTCGTCAAGGATGAGTGGATCGAGATGTGCTCCTTCTGGCCATGTCTTGTAAATTTCGATGAGTGCATTCAACTCAACCTGGTTAAGAAACCAAAATCTGCTGGTGGATTCATGGACGGCCACAAACTTGGTTTCTTGTCCAAATTGGCTTTGACCAGCAGCCAGCACGAGGTCGAAATGGAGAAAAAATCGGAGCAACCTGAAAAGGAAATTCTTCTGGTCCCACCAAAGCCACTTTATCCAAAAAGCGAGTACTGGCTTCCAAACAAGTACAACGTCACTTTCAATGTGGTCAGTAAGTTTTTAAAAAATAAGAAATGAAGGTTTTTGATTTCAGTTTGCCGTGGAGAACAACCGTGAGGAGTGGGATCCAAATGTCACTCGTATTGAGAAGTGTAAAATGAGCGGCGGACTGGTTTGCATCAGAGTTGTGATTCCAGCACTGGAGGATCCAGAGCCAGAACTTGCCGAGCGAGCACAGGAGGTCGTGGTCGGTGACTACGCTCTCTTGGTAAGCTCCAAATATATAGTATTGATCTATAAGATATACAGAAACATTTTTATTTGTTGGTTCTCGGTCATTTTGACCATTTTCAGAAGTCTGTAGCTCGGCTGTCAAGTTTCCGACCAGTTTGAAAACTTAAAATGGACCTAGGATTGAACAATTCGCATTCACAAGATTTTTTGAAAATTTCTAGTTTTTCTGCTTTTTGCCTTTTTCTGAAATACACCTTTTCGGTCCGTTTATGTGCTAAATGGAAAAAAAACAGGCATGATCGAAAACTGGACAGCCGAACTCCAGACTCCTAAAAATGCCGAGAATCAACCGATACTGTAGCTTCAAATAGAGACTAAAAATTTCCAATTATTATTGATTTTAGGACTTCAAGCGCGACGGAACCACCATTGCCAAGACTGGATGCATTGCTCAGTTCAAGAACCGACGTGAGGCTACTGACCACTTCTGCCGCATCGAAGCAGAGCGCATCTGGAATCATTTGGATGTAATGAAACTTCATCATACCCTAAAATACTCTTAAAGTTATTTTAGATGTCAGTCTGTGGCCGTTGCCGTCGCGCTGGAACCGACGCTGGTAGTCATGAGAAGGAGACATGTCTTTACAAGATCTTCGCCGATGCTGTTGAAACCAAAGAAGTCATTTTCTGTGAGTTCTATCATCACCCATTAGCATTGTGAGGTATTTAAAATTCGTTTTCCAGGTCACCAAGACGACCGCTACCACATCAAGAGCTTCAACTTGGAGTTCCGTCGTGATGGAGGCCGTGTTAGTCATCTCAAACGTATCCAACGTCATGCTAACAAGATTGTCACCACCGTCGCATCCGGATGCCAGAAGTTGGTCTCCAGAATCCGTCGTCGTCGTATTCAAAACTAAATGCAACCCTGTTAATAGAAGCCGATCCCCCGTTGTCCGTCGTTCCGAGTTTTCCTGTTCTTCCGAGTTCCCCCAATTCAATTCTTGTAATAACTCTTCTAAATTGTAATTATTTGTAATCCACAAAACTATGCAACCGTCCCACCTCTTCTTCTTTGAAGCGAAACCCGTCTATCCCTTCTTTCCTCTGAAATTCATAATTTTCCACTTTTCCTGCCCTTTTAACGCATAACTTTTTTCCTTAGCTTAGTCCCGAGAAGACATCAGCACATTCCAGTAATTTGGTATGGATAACAATAAAATATTTAGCATCAGCAAAATTTTCATGAAGTGTAATCAATATTGGATACAAAATACCCGAAAATCGAGAATTCAATTAAGACGAAAGAAAAGGAAAAAGTATATGACGAGAGAAAAAGGATCAAATTTGGACGAATAGCACCTATTAACGGTTTTTCTTGACAAGCACACATTCAAAAAGAGATTAAAGCATTTGGATAAGTGAAAAATTGATTTTTGGATATCAGACGAACGCCGGTTCCGGTGCACTTGCACAGCACGACGTGAACTTGCCCTTGTCGCTTTTGATGACCCCATCCACATGGAATGCCGATGAGAATTCCTGAAAAATATTGTTTTGCAATGAGTGATGAAGAAAATTAGCATATAAATTGAGACGAGACTAAACAAACCTCGTTGTCATCCGATTCGTCAGAGTTCAAACTGCTAGCCGTTAGTCGTTCTCTCATTGCAGCCGTCAGTGTGTGGAAGGCTTCCTCGCAGTTGATTCCTGAAAATATGGAAAAAATAGGAAAATTGTTATTATTGAAAATACTGAGGAAATTTGAAATTTTTTGGATTTCCTCAATTCTTTTCACGTGGAGTTAGAAGGTCGAAAAACTAGATTAACACAAAAATTCGGAAGTCTCTCATTGAGGATTTCTTGAAAATGACTTCCGAAAAAAAGAAAAAACTATTATTTTCCGTAAAACCTGTATAAGAAGGGTCTGAGCTAATTTTCCTTACATTCAGCCCTTTTGCGAAATGTCATAAATGTGTTAACCGGCAAAATACTTCAGATATAATAATAAAAAATTTACCAGTTGATTGATTTTTGATATATTTAACATGAATCGAGATGATTGAGCCCGAAAATGAAGAAAGAGACCCTGCTAACACAAGGTACACGGTTTATGTTCTAAGTGTCGTGAAACCTGTATTAAAAAGACATCTACATTCACAAACCCCGCCTAATTCATCTTCGTCAATGTAAAAAGTGTTTCAAAAAAGCAAAGGTGGTCCGCTAATGAAATGCACTCAAAAAGACAATGGGTACTTTAATAACAGTTTCAAAGCTATATTTGAAGTGTTAAGCATTTAAACATTTTTTCAATACATCGGATTTGTGGAATAGAAAAATCTGAAATTTCCGATACAGTTTGACATTTAAAAAATCACAAAATACCGAATTTGCCCTGAAAGAAGCCCACGCAAACCGGCGAATTTGAGCTCGTTTATTTCGATTCCTGTGAAAGATATCAACAATTTGTCAACTGATACATTATTCATGATAATATCACAGAGGCTTTATCAGTTGACAAACTTTCAGTATTTTTTACAGGAATCGAGATAAATTGGCTCAAAGCTGAAAGCTAGGTAGGTTTCTTTATAAAAATCTTGCGGTAGAATTTTTTCACATTACCTAAATCTCCAATACAATTCAAGTCGCAGTTTTTCTTCATGACTTATCTAATTATCATTACACATTTTAGTGAATTACAATTTTCTAATAAAACTATTCAAATGATTCTCTCATTTCAATAGTAAAAACCCTCACCCGTTTTCGCCGACACTTCGTATAGTGAAACGCCCAATCGTGAAGCCAGTCTTTCAGCGCGATCGAAGTCAACCTGAAAATGCATAAGTAGTCATGTTTTTCATTCATCTCATTCACTATTACGATTCCGCCACACCGCACTCCATTAATGGAGTGTTGTATGCAGGAATCCGATAATTACAACAGCGCATAATAGTTACGATTAAGGATGTTTTTCCCCTGTCTTCGTTTCTTCATGTGTTGGGCCCTGCCTTCGATATTCCTTAGTGTTACAAATGTAACTCAATCAAATTGTTTGGACACATCCCTCATCCCTCATACACACACACACACACACACAATTCGTCAGTCAATATATAAAATGTGTGTGTAACATTGCTTTTGCACAATTCCGATTCACAACTTATGAAGAGAAGGTTTTCATTGTAATATTGTGTTGAAGAGTGCCCCCCGTTCCAAATGCCTCTTCAGAAAATTCCCAAAAAGTGCATCAAAGAGCTCTGGGAGGCTCGAAAAAGGCTCGAAAAACAAATTGAGTAGTAGTTCCCCCCTTCTATTCCCGCTCCGGACACTGGAACAAGATGGATGGTGGTCGAACGGCCTAATTGGTTGCACGAAACAAAAAAGAGGCAATGGATTCGGAGCTGCGCCGAGAGTCATAAAATTGATAGATTATGTCCGACAAATTTGCGCATTCGGGGGCTCGAGGTTTCAGTTTCTAGATTTAGAATTCACAGGCCTTGCCTGAACACTAAACCAATACTGGCCCCGGACTTTAGGGCCCTTTTAAAACATCTTTGCTCCCTCCCAACCTGTACTATGTTTGTTCTGATACAACATTGCTGCTTTATGCGTACATTAATGTATATATACATAGATGAAATTGGTTTGTTGGCTAGGAGGGAAGACACAAAAGCACCTTTGAAGAGGGGGACGGTCGACCTCTGTCTAATTCGGGCTAATAGGATAGTGGAAGAAGTGGGAAGACGACGACAGAATGGTACTTGTTGCACCTGCGCATTGAATTCTTAAAATAAGAATCGTATTCGTTATTCCAAGAACACGTGTCTTTTTTGTTCTACAGATGGTGGATGAATAATAATCGAATTTATGACCGTCAGGTGTAGACAGCTAAGCTCACCTTTCGCTCTTGATCCAAATCTGCCTTGTTGCCTACCAACATGAGTACGGCGTTTGCTGGAGCGTGCTGCTTAATTTCTTTCAGCCAATACTTTTCCATATTCTCGAACGACTTCTCATTCGTCATATCGTACACACACATTACTCCATGCGCCGAGTGGTAGTACGAGTTGTATATCGTTCGGTATCGCTCCATTCCAGCGGTATCCCACAGTTCTAATCGGATCTGCAATCAATTCGAAAATAATTGCTGACCAGAAAGATGGTTATCAGTGTGATTCATTTGTGTGGGAGTTTCTGATAAGAGACACCAAAAAATAGAGTGTTCAAAACTCCAAATTAAAAATCAATGTCTATTTTCTCAAAACGATATTTTTTCGATATTTGCCAAAGATTGGAACAGGAGAGGAAATCCTACATACACACAAAGGGTAAAGCAAACAAAAAAGGTTACCTTATCCCGTCCCAGTTTGATAGTTTTCAATTTGAAATCCACGCCTAGTGTACTAATGTGATCCATTCTGAAGTTGTTCTCGGCGAACCTCAGAAGAATGCATGATTTGCCGCAATTGTGATCCCCAACGACAACTATCTGTAATTGATTGGAATTGGTTGGACTAGGTTTGATTGATTAGAAGTCATTTTCTAGATTATTCCCTCACTGATCAAGTTTCAAGGTACCAAACTTGTACCAAACTTGGAAAATAGACTTCTTTCTCCTTAAAAACATATGCCCCTTGGGACAACTCGTTCCTAACTCCTAGCATAATTTGTTCATATATTTTCTACACCAGCAAACACACCAGCCGTCCATAAATTGTTTTCACTACTGTGTCTAAATCAGTTATGCGTGCCCGTGAAGGACCCCGTCTACCCCACAATCATCATTTTGTCCAAAGGTATTATACAAAATGATTATGAGGCATGAAATCATAAAATTCGGGTAGTTGGGAGGTGACTGGTATGCAGTAAGTTATACAAAAACTTGTTTTTCGTATGATTTTAGGATATTTAAATCCATTTTCAGGAGTCTGAAGCTCGGTAGTCAGGGTTCCGATCTGTTTGAAAATTATGGAGGGTGTAAAATAGACCTTGATGGAAAACTTAGCAGTCATAAGTTTTACAAAAATTCCTAGTTTTTCAACTATTTGCAGATTTCTGAAGCACGCCTGTTTTTTCCCATTTAGCACAGAAACGGACCGAAAAATGTGTATTTCAGAAAAAGGCAAATAGCTCAAATTATAGGAATTTTCAACTAATTCTGTGAATGCAAAATTTCCAATATAGGTCTATTTTACACCCTCCAAAATTTTCAAAGTAATCCAAAACTTGAAAGCCGAGCTTTAGATTTCTGAAAATGGTGAAAATGACTGAAAGTCTTCAGAAAACTACGTTTTTCTATATCTGGTACAGTAGATGGAAAAAAAACAACTTACCTTGAAAAGATGATTGTAGCTCATTGAAGCCTCTGGGATCTCCTGAAGGATATATGACTATATATGAGAAAAAGTGAAAACAAAGCGTTTTGAAAAAAAATATAAAATGAAAGGAAGATCTATGGGATGACTTGAGATAGATAAATGAAGATGTCAAAAAAAGCTGACGGGCAAAAAGGTTAGATGGAACGGCACGGGAGGCAGTAGAGTCTTCTCTTTCTTCTATCTCTCTCTCCCTCTCTCTCTCTCTCTTTTTATTCCCGTTGCGCGCACGCTATGTATGTGCCAAATAGTCGCGGGGAGGGCTTGGGAGATGGTGGGCGGGGTCAGTTTGCCAATTGTCTGCGCACTCCTTGCCGTTTTGTATGATATACGAGGGTTCTCTCGACGCGTCACCCGCATGAACCGTCTCTCTTTGACATCCCTCCCACACTCCCGCCGGGGGTCGATCTGTTTTCTGTCTCACTCAGGCTTTCCCACACTCACTCGGCCCGCTCCCGTGTCCTTTCCCGCGCTCTGAAAATTTTTTGCCTCACTTTCTCTGGTCTCTATGGAGCGCACAATTTATCAATCATACACTTGATATCTTTTCCTTGTCTCGCGTGTACGGTCTCTTTCTCCGTCTGACTCTCACGCAAAAGTTCGCGTAAGTAATTGACCGTTGTCATCAAGTACTGATGGAGAAGGACGAGCGATCTAAGCGGGTGATGGAGGGAGATGACGATCGGTGTCTTAATGGTGACCCTTGGACAGTACGGCATTGAAGAATGGGAAATTGAGATGTTTGAGAAAATTGGAACTGTTAACGATGAAAACTGTTAACAGAAAAATGAAAGATAAAAGAAATGTGATATGTGAAAATTGATAGGTTGGGTGAACTTTGAGATGGTAAAAAGCAGAAAAAAGAAGTATATCACAACTGAATTTCTAAGTTGAAATTAGAATTAGACCCTATCTACAGTTTAGTAGAAATTTTAAATATTAAAACTACTTTGATGAGTCACGCGTAGTCAGTCGGAAAACATTCGGAATGAAAAAAATCCTAATACAAAGTTTGAAAACATGAATCATGCATTTGTACAATCAGAAAAATGGGTGGGAGATAAGGAATCGGAAACAAAAAAAAAAGAGAAAGAGAGATACCATCTATTACTTTCCATTCTGATTGAAATCTTATGAAAACTTCTGTTCTCAAAAATCACAAGGTAATCAAATTTAAATTGAAGATAATCAAATAATTATGAAAATGAGATTTACAGTACTGGTAAAAAAAGTAAATTGTGGATTTTGGATGATGTTAATTCGATGTTAAACTGTTAAAAAAGTGCACATTTTTGAACACTTCAAAGCATACTTTATACAGTAGTGGTCAATAGGATATACTGGTTATAAAGTTGAATCTTGATCATTCGACCATTTTCGGGAGTCTGGAGCTCAGCTGTCTAGTTTCCGATCACTTTGAAATTTTTGGAGGGTATAACACATATCTAGATTGAATACTTCGAATTCCCAGGATTTTTCGAAACTTTCTAGTCTAGGTCTGTTTTACACTTTTGAAAATTTTCAAAAATTTGACAACCGAGCTTCAAACTCATATAAACGGCCTACAGTTCACTGAAAGTTTTGTTTTATATATCTTATTTATATTATGGACCGGTACTGCGAATATGTATAAATAAAACTTCAGTTTTGTTCACACATTTTCGTACAAATCCAACAAAGCTAGACGAACGATTTGAAATTGGCACCGTTCTCATTTCTGGGCTAATTTTGAAAATCTCGGTTTTTTTATCATCAATATAGAATACTTTCTCAGAATGTAATCTAAACTTTCCGAATCAATAAAAACCATTCCATAATACTTTTTTCAGGACTCCTGACTAAATTCTTCTCCGGTGATCTATATACAACATTTGCTCTAATAGAAGGCTGCCCAAAACGTCAATTTTGAGCTTAATCATTTCAATTCACGTGAAGGATATCAAACATTTGATAACTGATAATTTTTTATCATAATGTCACAAGCATTTTATTAATTGACAGATTTTCGATATCTCATGGAACCCGAGATGATTGAGCTAAAAAAGAAACTTGGTGCGGGATTCTATAAGAGCAAAACAGTAAATAAGTGGGAGCGTCCAATCAGAAAGAGCTTCCAAAAAATGAAATGTTTTTATTATCCATAAACTATTCAGTAGTATAAGAAATTTTTGATTTTAATTCAACATAATTACTATAAAATCTGCGAGTTTCAAATATTAATTGACAGCTTGATAATTTTTATCACATTTGAAATGAATTTAGGACCTCGTCGGGTGTTTCGGTGTTCAAAGATAAACGTACTAGCAATGGGACAAAATTATTGTCAAAGAGCATAATTATCTTTACAGACTAAATTGTTTAAAGAACCATAATCATCCTCACAGATGAAATTTTTTCAGAGAATCAAAGTTATATTTAATCCCTATAAATAAGGGGAATTATCTTAAAGGACCAACATTATTTTTGATCATCAAAATATCTGACAAAAGCAGTCTGAAAAAGTTATTAAAAGAATTTTTGGAATGAGCTTGAGGTTTTTTTTTTGAAAAAGTGCTACAAAAAAAATAGAAAATCTTACCCTTATTCTCTGATTTTGCGACAAAAAAACCGAATTTTCTCAACGGAACTGAGCACGAAATTCAACTAAAAGTTTCAATGCGTCATTTTCTTTCGACCGAGGTTCAGCTTTTTGTTGTAAATGTGTTGTAAACCTTTGCGAGAAAAAAAAAGCAAAATTGAATTTTCACTTGGGAACAATAGGACATCGTACTTTTTTTTTCTTACACAGATTTTCTTCCTCTTTTAACAATCAACTTAAATAGAATTTTATTACTATCATTATTTCTACAAGAAACATCATAGAGAGATACAGCATTTTGTATATGTCATTGTGAGAGAAATACGCCAGGAAAAACCAAGATGTGAGGAAAATGGGAGAAGAAGAACGGAGAATCAATTTACATGAACACAGATGTACGAAGCTGGAACGCTTAGACAAGAGAATAGAGGAAAAAACTAGAAAGGATGAGAGTGAAAAAATATGGAAGCGGGAAGAGAGTGAATAGATTACGTTTTTTCGCATGCACACAACATTCAAAAAAAAGATATGCGAATTTGCTCTGGATATTGCACACATGCGATATTTGGGGCGGCAGAAATGTGACATATGTTCTTTGCTGAATTGTTCACGCTCGTTGAATCTCGAAGAGTTTCACATCGGTGTCATACCAAATCGGTGGTTGTGTGTTTCTGAAAAGAGAAGGTGTTGCGAAATCTCTCTAGAATTAACAAAAACTCACCTAAGATAAATCACACCCCACATGTAGATACGGAACCAGTGGTTAGTGCCAACGTTGGTTTGGTAGCGGCGGATAACGATTGGGTGTGGAACCGGAAGAAGTCCGACGAGAGTTCCGTGTTGGAGGAATTTGAGAATTTCGCTTTCGTCGGTGAGACCTCTGAAAGAAAAAATGAACTGAATTTGGGAGGATTTCAAATCAAGACGCTCCTCAACTGCAATATTTTTCATCACACAAGGTGAATAATATGAATTATTATTTTTTTTCTAAAAGTGAAGAGCCAAGAAGAATACTAGGCATCAAAAAAAAATGCATCTGATCAGTTGTGTTATTGTATCAACAATTTCACCTAATTGCTTGATTATTGCACTCTGAGCTCGATTATTCAGATTAATGTGAAAGGTATCAAAAAATTTCCAACTCATGAATTATTGGTCATAATATCATCAATATTTTATCAGTGGACAGATTTTCAATATCTCTCACAAAAACCGTGATAATTGAGCTCAAATCGGGTAGTAGGATAAGTAGAATAACTTTTAAGACGCGAGCTGGCTTCAAGCTAAGTATTTGGTCGCTGACCGAGCTAGAATGTTCGAATTGGCTTTTTTGCTAATCTACCACTGACCGCGACTTGTTACTAGACCTACAGATGACCTGTATTCCACAGCTAATATAACGCTCATCAGTATCCACAATTTGATACTTGAATAGACTGAATCTCTTATTTTGAAGCCCAGCAGCATTTTTCTGAGCGAATTTTGCTGGCAATCTATTTCTTTTCTTCAGAATTCTGTTCATCTTTTATAGAAAAATGTAATGTCTCACACGACAGCACTGCAACATGTTTAATAGAATTTTACGAGTATTTCTGTTATTTGATTCTTAGATGTCATAGTTGCTCGAAACTTTAGTCTCGGTATTTTTTTTGAACTCACTTATCAATGCATATCTTCTCGACCTGTGGAACCAAAACTTGAAGAAGTCTCATGATCGTCTGAAGTGGCAATTTCGACTTCCACGCCTCTGCCCATTCTTGAGTTGCAATCCATTCTTCTGGAACTGTTAAAACAATCGGTACAGTTTTTTCGTACTTGTTTCCTTAACTACTCACCTTCTTGAGACTCGGGCTTTTCTTCCCAATTTCCAACGTTTCCAGTCATACTTGCTAGTGCAGGTGTGGCGGCCAGTCCAGCTGTTGTACTTGCTAAACAATGAGGAATTTGAAATATATTCCAGTGAAAAAAACTTACGTCCACTACTTGCAGGTGGTGTTGACGAAGAAGCACCGGCTGCTGGGAACTCTGGTGGATTGGCGGTCGTTGGGCTTTTTAGTTGGTCAACCATTTCATCTCGATTGGCAGCTGGAAAGAGATCCATACGTGATTTGGTTTGAAAAAAATTAGATTGTTACATTTACTCTTCCGTCCAGACAATGTTTTTGCAATAGAAGCCGAATCAACAGAGAGATTCGACAACTGGTAGAACACATTTCTCTTTCTGATGATGGTGTAGATTAGATTTGAGTTTCCTGAAAACAAAACATTTCAATCTAGGATATTCTTTTCTTCACACCACTGACCATCAAATTGGTATTGAATGACATTGTTGAACACTTCAAGCAGCGAGAAAACCAGTTGAGGATTGGTGGGAGAGGAGAAGAGGAACCACGGAGTCGAGAATGCTTCGACGAGATGAACGAGTTTGTTTGCGGCCACCATTGATAGCGATTTCATATATGGAGACACTGGAAACGAAAATCGGTGTTAAGTGTTGGTTTGAAGGGGAGTGTTTTTAGGCTCAAGTGCTTACCATTGACCATGATCGTCAAGAAACAATCAAAAAGGGACTGGAGTCGGTAGTTTCCAGTTGTGATGAGCTTGTGGAAGACCTGAAAATAGAGAAAATACGATAATCATTTATGATGTGTGAAATTATTTTATGAATTGGAAACATTCAAATTTTTTTAAACACACTTGTCGACCGGCCGGCAGATAATTTGCTTCAAAGATTGAAATCTGAGCAAGAAAACATACCAAATGACAGAGCTTCGTGAGCTATACAACTTTTTATAAGAATCAACTAGCTTCGAAACCGGCACTATGGTCCAGCCAGACACTATTTTAGTTCGCACCGGTTAAATGCTGGTCGATTCTTATTAAAATAGGCTATAGAGCTCGCCGAGCTCATTCATCAGGTATGTAGTTTTGCTCGCATTTTTATTTTTGAAGTGAGTTATCAACTGGCTCGTGCCGGTCGGGAATGGGTACATTTACAAGACTTTTTTCAAGATTTACGGATTTTTCAAATTTGAAATTAGCGTCCTTACCAAAATCAATAAATCCGCATGTGTCCCAGTAAAAGTCTGTATATTGATATTGGCTTTTGCTGTATACGGCTTGTTGAGTCGAACACCAAAATTACGTTCGCCACTGAGAAGTAGAATAATAAACACTCCCATGTGGATTAATCCGACTCGAGCTGAAATTTTTAATTTTGGTTTGAAAAACATCCATTGAGCACTAACCGGAGTCATTACGCGCGTCCGAAATGTGATAGAGGATTGGTACCAAAATATCGAGCACATCAGATGTCTTGAGCACGTAGAACATGAATTTCTGATTGAACTCACAACATTTCCAGAGGAGAACCAGCAGTTCTTGGTGGAAATTAACCTTTTTGGTGGAGTTTGGCAGGTAGGAAGACGAGGAGTGAATTGGGTTGCTCAGAAGACGAGTGATCCCCTTCAACATAAAGTCGAAATCCTCTTCTCGGTGAATTCTGCTCAAATAGTTGATGAAATAGTTGTCTTGGTAACCAGAATCATCGGTTTTCGGTTGACTCTCCTTGTCCAAGCACACAATCAACACCTGGAGAGCGATTTCTACCAGAGGCTCTCTGGAGTCATTGAAGAGCAAGTAGTTGTACGGGAGACCATATCCAACTGGATCATAAGCGCAAACAATGTTGAGTAAGGATGTGAAGATCGGAAGTACGTGTGGGTTGGTGACAGCGGTGAAGTGACAGATCCATCGCAGGCGATTCTCATCTGAAATTTCATAATTTATGGTTTGTGACTTGCTAGAGAGCTATCTACCTGACACAGGAGCATATATGACCTCTGAGAAGCAAGTCAAAAGCAGTTTGAGAATCTCTGACCGATTTTGATAGTGAAGCGCCACCATAGGTGGCTTGTTTCCAGATCCCACACCGGCTTCCCAGATATATTCGCATGAATCGATTGTAGAGAGATCATTGACCTTCTGGAAACAATTTAGGTGGTTTTTAGGTTAGATGAAATCGCTCACCAATCCATTGGAATGTGAAATTGTGAACTCAGGGCAGAACAGAAGGTCGGATAAGTTTTCAAGTAGCACCGCTGCTAGTGGTTTCGTCGAATCTCCGTGAGGTATCGGCGACCAGAAGTAGCCTCTCCACTCGGCATCTTCCAACATGTAAGGGGTTATTCTGGTAAGGAGCCGGATAGCGTTGATCACCTGGGATAATTTAAAGATATCAAACTTGAATTTTTTCGGTGCCTGGAGCGTTGAAAACGCACCTTCTTCTGATCTATATTTGCTGGGTGATGCCTGGAAAACTGGATTTTCTCAACTGCTTTGTAAACCAGTGTGGCCAAGTTTTTCGGAGATTCATCTCGAAGTTTGCGAATGTCTTCTCCAGGAATCATGGCAAAAATGTCGTTGACGGTATCCGGCCACCAGGCTTGGTCCCAGAATTGTTCATCGTCCTGGGAAATGGGTTTTTTTTTCAAATAGTAGGTTTGATGCATAATTTTCCAGATTTTTAAAATGAACATTTCGGCCCTAGTTTTCTTCTCATTCTCGAAAAAATTTGCTACTCACCTTGCCCGGCTTTGATGTCAAATCCAGAACGGCTTGCTTGAAATCCACACGACTACCTTGGGCTCCCATTTTACTTTTTTTGGTTTTTTTAAACCTGGAAAACGTTTAAAAAATGAATAAAGAAGAACCAAGAGCAACAAAAATGACGTGGGGTGGTTTCGTAGAGAAATGAATGGGCGAGTAAGGCGTGGGCAAACGAGGCGGATAGAGCGTAATACGGCCCCATACAACGCGCATTGCGCAGGAAAAAAGCTAGAGAGGGAAAGAGAGAGAAAGAAGGCAAGGACGCTCCGAATCAATAAGGGTCCCTCTCTCTCTCGGACCACATGATGAATATTCTAATGTGTGAGGAACATTGCGCAAGACAAGACGGGAGAAGAAAACAGAAAGAGAAGAGGAAGATGAACAATTTCTAATTAAATCTACTAGATGCTCGTGGTCCTAAGTGAAAACACGTTTTATCTTTTTTTTTCCATTTAGGTTTTTCCCATAATAAACATCACAAGACGAAAAAAATCAATGGAAGCGCAGTGAGCACAAAAGAAAAGGTGTTAGTCACTCTACCTGGTCAAAGGCGAGCGGCGGCCACCGGAGAAAGTTAGGCCACCGACGCGCGGCCATGAAATGTTTGCTGGTGTTGCAATAGTTGTGTCATATCTAGAAAAACGATGATTCAACCCGGAAATAAGCGTTATTTTTGAATGAAGAAGTGAAGGAAATGAATCAGATGAGGAAAAATGTAAATATACAAGTTTGAATGTGTTCACAGATCGAAAAGATCTCAATCGGAAAGTCTGGTTTTGTTCCGGCTTGTTTTCAAATGTTTTTTCATAACAATGGAATAGAAAACTGAGGTATTTATTAATGCGAAAAAAAACACGTGATTTTCTGAGTATTATTAGTTTTTGAAAAATAAATATTTAATGAAATCAATTCGGAAGGAATCGCATGCGAGCGATTTCTGTTTTCTGCTCCTCGGTGTAAACATCAACGTCTGGAATTTTATTTTTCAGCCATATATTCTTTTCTTTCTGGCTAACCTGGTCTATAGAAACGCTCATCGTACGGCCATCCGTTTCTGATTTGATAAGACAACAACTTTTGGGCCAGCGCGTGTCGGTTCTAAAGGAAAGTTGAAGCTATGGAAGGAGAAGAAAAGAATTTCTGTCTACCGGATTGTTCTGTTGATTCCTCTCGAGATTCAGGCTAGCCGGTTTGAAGTCTGCGCTGCTTGCTGGGAAGTTTTGTACGCCGTTTAGTCGGTTGCGTCGGGCAACAGCCTAAAAGTAAGCTCATTTTTCTTCTGAAACTCTGGGAAACTTGAGGAGTTGCAGAGGCGCTGAGCGACACAGGCACCACAGGTGGCTGTCGACCCCCCAAAATACATATTCTCTCTTTTCAAAAATCCCGAAATGTCACTGTCCTCGTTAAAAGACAAAAATCAAGATCACTCAAAAAGCAAAATTGACAAAATGAGCTCACCGATGGCACTGGTCTAGTTCTTGGAGCCGCTGTCGTTGTTGTGGTTGGCGGAGTTGGGAAAGTGAATGATTGTCTTGGGACCCATGTTCTGGTTACTGTCGCACTCCCTCCAACTTCGGCGGATTTCAAGTGGACAGCTGTAGCTGGTCCTTTCCTGAAATTAACGATTAAATATGGTGAGTAGATTATTACCGCAGACAGGCGGTGAGAATTTTCCCGTGAACTTGTCAACTTTTCAGAACAGGAACACCGATGTTCAATGCTCCTAAAACAAGGTTTTTGTAGTCTTCTGACCTCAATTTTCGATATTATCAAAGCCAAAATAGACGGGCTTCTTTCTCGCTGCTAATTCGGGATAATTGTGATAATATTGGGGAATTTGGGCCCATTGGAGACTTCGCTAGGGTCCGCTAACGAGGAACGACCGCAGAATTTGGTGGTTGTTAATAACAAAGATAAAGATTTTCCGCCTCTCTCAAATTAAAAGTTTCGATATACCTTCTGACTCCAACACTGTTAATTGCAATTTGTGGTAGTTCTTGAGACACTTGGGTTGTTGTTGTTGGAGCTACAGTAGTTTTGGTAGTAGTTGTTGTAGTGGTCGTTGGCTTAAGGTACTGGCCATCGTGCATTTTTCCTGGCAACGCTTTTTTCATAGACATGTTGATGCTTTGAAGTCCGTGTTTTGGCTTAGCTGTGGTAGTGGGGTCATCAAGAATATCAGAAGCGTATAAGTACTTCTGACAGCAAATCGATCGTTTGTACTCTCCGAAGCAATATGTGTCGGTCTGAAAGTCCCAAGTAAGAGAAATAACAGGAAATGTATAGTACCCCTGGACATGGATTTCTCGAATTGCAAATCACTCTCGATCCATTACTGTTAAGCATACCAATGGAGTCGGATGGACACTCGAGCTCTTCTTCTGGCAGAGGAGTGGTGGTTTTCACACGATACTTTTGCTTTGGATGTTTGGTGGTGGTTGTTGGCGCTGGATGGCCCATTCTTTGGAATGATGGATCTTCACAGCAGATGTATCCAAGGCCCACATCGGCACAATACATGTTTTCCTAGAAAATAAAAAAATCAAAGCATTATCCTATCAATTTCGAGCGCACCCCTGGACAGCTTCTGGCTATCTGGCTACACTTCAATGGTAATCCATGTGGATCCAGTACAGTCAGTTTTGGGTATGGACAACTTGGTTGATTATCGATTGATGGCTCATTGGAAGGACAACACATGTAGTTGAGACCGGTGAAGAAACAGTTGTGATTCGGACCACACATCAGATTTTCTGACATTCCTGAAAAAGGCATATTCTCATAAATTGTTTGAATGTCAGCGGGGGTTACCTGGTAGACATTGTTTTGGCTTTAACGACGAATCTAATTCGGGAAGTTGGCCATTGGGACAGGTTGGGGCTTGTGCTGTAATTTCAAATTACTATACATGAAAGACTATCTTATGTACATGTCAATAAGTTACAGCCCCATTTTTCAGCTGATTTTCTATCATTTTGACTGTTTTCTGAATTCTGGAGCTCGGCCGTCAAGTTTGCAAAAACAGGCATAAATTGACCATGTATTTTTTTGTATTCACTGAATTTCTAGAAAATTTCTAGTTTTCCAGCTTTGTGCCAATTTCTCAAAGACACTCCTTCTCGACTCATTTTTGTACTGGAAATGTGTATTTCAGAAATCGGAAAATATCTAAAAACCTAGGAATTCTCAATAAATTCCTTCAATGCAAAGTTTCAAATCTAATTATGTTTCACACCATCCAAAGTTTTCAAAGTTACTGGACAATTGGCAAACGAGCTCCAGACTTCTGGAAATGATGAAAATAAACTAAAAAACAAATTTTCCTATATCTTATTGACCGGTACTGTAACTATGACCAACCTGATACAAAGTAGACTGATGAAATTAGAAAGTAAGAAACGAAAGTGGGTAACAAGGAGACCATCAAAAATGCAGTTAGGATGGGGCTAAAGTGATAATATGGGTCGGGAGGGGAAGACGAAAATGAGATGAAGAAGGATCGGTTGAGGACGACGTGTGTAGTCGATTAACCTCTTTAACGGATGCGCCTCTCTTTCGGGATGAAACGAATGGGAAGAGAAAAGAAGATAAGTTGGATTTATCACAAGTCTGCGATCTCTTCGTTGTTGTGTCTATCATCCTATCATAATCGAAAGTTTTTTTTTGTGAAAACGAAGTTTCGACAGGAATGTTCCTTTCAAAAAAACCTTGATGAAAAAAATCGAAATTCGCAACTGATTCGAGATCCGAACAAAGAGAAGAAACAAGGAGAAGATGAAAAACGAGTTGTTAGCCGTACGGGACATAGGGTGTGGCACCAAGCTTAGAGAAAAAATTTGAAACGGTGGGTTTGAACCATCAGTCATCAATGGACCTGTAATAGAAGGGCACTGTCAACTTCAAACTGATTTATCTCATCTCCTAAGCGAAATTTCGAGAATATTTCAAAAAATAAAATTTTTGTGAAATTACGAAAAACATATTGTCCGTTGACTCCTTTTCAATACCTTCCACAGAAACCGAGATACAGTACCGGTCAACAAAATATACGAAAACGCTTATTTCAATTGATTTTCGGCGTTTTCAGGAGTCTGGAGCTTGGCTGTCGATAGGCGTAAATCAGGTTGAAAGTTTTCCATTTACAGACTTTTCGAAAATTTCCAGCTTTTCATCTCTGTGCCGATTCCTGAAGAACATCTCTTTTCGGCCCGTTTTTCACTGAAAACATTAGCTGTCCGTTAGAAATCAGCATATAACGGGCCAACTAGGAATTTTCAAGTAATCCTGTGAGTGCAAAGTTTTCAATCTAGGTCTGTTTTATTCCTTCTAAAATTTTCAACGTAATCAGAAGCTTATCAGCCGAGCCAGACTAATGACAATGGGCAAAAAACCAATTGAAAAACATGTTTTATATCTTATTCACATTTCTGCATATGAAAATTTCTAAAATTTGACTTTTATTCCAGTTTCCGATGACCAGGTCATCTTTATTTTCGCCCACTTCTCAAGTTTCTATCTGTTCTCCGTATGAGTCACATGAGGCCACATGCAAATAGGTACACAAGGCGGCCAGCAGCATAACCTGCATATCGATCTATTTGTTGTTTGCTCAAGCAGTCGACTGATGGTGCTGGTGGTTTCTCAATGCTGATTCTTATAATATGTACATTTTTGGCTGTATTTGTGCCTGCAAACCCTCAGCGAAGTTTTTTGGATCAGCAGGATGATGAGGAAGAGCAGCCCAGAAGCTATGCTTTTCAGAGAACCAGGTTTGCAAGATTTTGAGGTTGTTTGCTTTAAGATAGTTTCAGAAGTTTGAATGGTGGATATGCAACAGATGGGGATTCAAAAATTAACGACGAAGTTTACCGAATTTTCATGCTCACCATTCTCGACGGTTTCAACATTTTCAAAATCAAAGCGTACAACGACCGCTCGTTTATCTACCTCACACGTCGCGACTATTGGCTTGGCGACCGTTATTATTATATGGTTTGTTGATACTGACCTTGAAAGTCATGATTTTCTTGTGTTACAGGACAATTATTATTACCTCCCAACACGAGATTCGTGCGCGTATCGTATGAACGAGACCGAACGACAACATCTTTTCTACGAGGAGGACAACATGCCGATATTCGATATCATTTATCAGTAGGTTTTCCTTTTGGAGAGGTGGGAAGAACAATAATATTGCAAAAGATCATAAGGGGATGATATAATTGATAAGAAAAGAGGTTTGCCAAGTTTTTATGGACATCAGGTTCAAATCAAGGAGGAAATATGTTCTTTTTAGAGTTTTGATAATGGGGAATCTTTTGGTGATAGCCCAGAAAACCGTTTTCCAAAAATTACATATTTTTTTTTGAATTATCAAAGTTTTCAGTAGATCGAACCGATTTTCCAAGGAAAAGTTTCATGAATACGGTCACAGAATAATTTGAAAAACAGGAAATGTTAAAAATGTATTTCGAATCGGACTCAAAATCCATTTGACTGTAAATGAAACGTATCGAACTTTCAAAAGAGTACAGTACCTGAAAATAGTACGGTACCAAAAAAAGAGAGATACTAAAAAAAGTACAAAACCAAAAATTACTGTAATAAAAGTACAGTACTAGAAAAATGCCAACAATGTCAAAACAAGCACGGAATGAAGGGTTGCCCCTCTAAACCCACTATGCTCACTATGGGGAATTTGCACAAAACTATTGTCAATAACAAAAAAAGGTGCTAATTTTGTTTAGTGTGATCTAAAAATTTCTGAAAAATCGAAAAATTTTGGACCACTTTTTTAGAGATTTGAAGTTGACTATCTTCTACTCATTTAGTCAAAATACGATTTATTTTAGTATTTGATGTTCACAGCGTACTATTCGTTTTTATCCCTTCCAATCGATTCTCAAAAGTTGTACATTTCATCAGAATTCTGAAATTTAAAAAATTCTGAAATATGCACAGCGAAAATTTTAATTAGAATCTCGAAAGTATTTTAAATCCCAATTTTTGATGTTTTTCCAGATGCCAGCGATATCAGGAGTACTGCTGCGGTTTGAATTGCTGCAAAATTGACCAAATTGGACGTCACGACTATCCTCGCAAGCCGCCTAAATACCCTTGGGAAGACCCGTGGCACCATAATTCTGCATCCTGTTCTTCACAATTGCCCTTTGCCATAATTATAATTTCTGTCTTCAACTTTTTCACATAATTATTCTTTATAAATATTTTGTGTGAATATTATGTGTTTCTTAAAAAGAAGAGTGGAAGCTTGTGGTGCTGCCTTTCTTTCAAGAGGCAATAATCAAAACAATCGACGGAAAGGCTTGATGGACACTTTTGGTGGGGTCCTATTTTTTTTTGCTCACAATGGTTTAGCAAAAACAGAGGTCTTGCATTTTTCAAAAACATGTCTCAGGGTTAACAACATCACGTGACATTCATTCGACTTTAAAGTTTGCCGGAACTTTTAAGTTTCCCAGATTAACAAATTTCCTTCAATTTTCTTCCTTCCTTTCAAGTCCTCTCTAGAACACACATGAATTTTTATTTCCAAATGGGCCATCGCGCTCAAAACGTGAATAATTACTTCTTGCCAAAAAGTTTTTCGCTTTTTCGCGCCGCACACATCCCTCTCCATACTCTTCTGAATTCTCGACAGCTCACCATCTGGCTCAAACAAAACAATTAGGACATACACAAGTGTATTATTTGAGCATTGTTGTTTTTTTCGCTTTTTGTGTCTTGTTCTCTTCGTTTTATTGAGAACGGCTTCCTAGTAAAAAGAGTGTTTGAGGAAAAGTACTTCAAAAGGTTTTTCAAATCTTTTAAGCAAAACGTTGAATTCAGATGCCTTCTCTGGTTGATGAAATCTGGTTAAAAACAGCCTAGAACTCATTTAGCCAAGCTTGAAGCTGCAAATCGCGCCATCACAGCTCAGCTGATAGTGGTGCGGCACCTCCAACGTTAGGCCCACAAGATCAGCTCTTCAAGGGGATTATATAAACAGAGTTTCGAGATATTTCTTCTCCACGACCTTCCTTAAATCAAACATTTTCTATGCGGAGCTTCTGAATTTCTGAATTTTTGAATTTCTGAATTTCTGAATTTCTGAATTTCTGAATTTCTGAATTTCTGAATCTCTGAATTTCTGAATTTCTGAATTTCTGAATTTCTGAATTTCTGAATTTCTGAATTTCTGAATTTCTGATTTTTCGAATTTTTGATTTTTTGAAATTCCGAATATTCAAAATTTCTGACTTTCTGAATTTCAAACTGAATAATTTTTCGAACAATTTTTACCTGCTTAGGAGAAAGTTTCGAAATTCCCCAATTTAAAAAAAATTATTTTTCAAATCCCAGTGTCCAAGAAAATCAAGATATCAAAAACCAAGGCACATGTCTTAAAAAAACAAATCTAGAATTCAGTAGTGAAGCATTCCGATACTCAACTATTCTAAAAGCTCTTTTTTTTAGTAAGTGTATGTCTCAAAGTGAGAAAATTTTTGTTTTCTTCCAGTTGTCGGCTTTAAAAACGAAGACAACAGAGCGAAGACGCTAAAATTACACACCCAGTCAATCTAATTTTGTTCGCAACAGTGCACAAAATCCTTGTTTTCCTTTTTCTTGAAAAATTTTCCTTCTTATTGATTCTTCTTAGAGCCAAAAAAAAGACTTTCGTTCTATTGCGTCAGATATGAAATTTGAATAAGAACATCTCAGTTTTCAAAGTGTGCAAAAATTCTTATTATAGTTTTCTCATCTAGCGTTTTTCGCTGACTAAAGCCACATTTTTTGCTCTTCCAAACCACTTATCTTTTTTCTCCGCCTATCTTCTTCTTTTTGCTACGTTTTTCCTCTTAAAACAATGTACAAAATAATGGAACTTGCCCTCCAAATAATTGATGACATTTCTCAAAAACCTGAATGGACCTCATAAAATGGTTTTCTTCACGCCTATGACACGCCGGCGTGTGCTCTTTCTTCTCTTTTTTCTCTCCACACACCAATTTTTGCACATCAGGACGCAAAGAAATCGCTAACTGGACTAAATTGGTTAGCTGATGAAAGACGAATAGTGGATCAGAAATATGTGTCCAGCGAGCTTCTGGCGCAAAGTTCGACCCAACCCGTTGGTGTTCATTTTTTGTGTTAGCTCGTGTTGCTTCACATTTGGATTGTGTATAGCTATTTATGATATCAATAATTTTGGAAGCGGGTTGTACTTGGTAGGTGTTCAAATTTCAAAAAAAATGACGTTTATGAAGTTTAGGGATCTTAAGAAATTTCAAAAGACCTCAATTTTCTCAGGGGTTTTTGAGACCTTTGAGCTGGAATCGAGGCAATTATTTTATTAATTTTTTAGGCACTGGTCTCAATTGTAACCGTGGTTGTGGTATTGGCGTTTTGTCTTGTTGGAACAGAGGATCAGGTAATTTTAAGTTGTTGTATTTCAAAGCACTTTTAATTTTAAATGGGAGTGGAAAATATATCGAGTTTTGAATTTTCGAATTTTTTTCAATTGCCCTCCAAGTTTCAATTCGCAAATGATTTTCAAATTTTCCACTCCTTAATTTTATACGTTGTAGCAATTATGATTTTTTTTTATTCGTTTACAATACAAGTCAGTAAAATATTTTTTTTAAACATATTTTCCAGTTGACATTTGGTCATTTTGAACACTATCAGACGTCTGAAGCTCGGCTGTGAAGATTTCTATCACTTCGAAAACTTTGAATGGTGTCAAACGTATCTAGATAAAAAATATTGCACTTTCAGAATTTTCGGAAAGTTCTTAGTTTTTTTTAGCTATTTGCCATATTTTGAAGGGCATCCTTTTTTGTTGAAGCTATATTGGATGTTGGGGGACTGATATTGGATGTTGGGAAACTGATATTGGATGTTGGGGTGCTGATATTATATCGTGGATTGGGAGCCCTGGAGGGGTGGCTATAGTTGGAGAATCCCACGTTCTCCAAGAGCGACCCCCACTTTATTTTATACTATTTTGTACTGAGAACGTGAAAAATGGGTATCTTTCAGAAATCGGCAATTACCTGAAAAACTGGGAACTTTCAAAAATTCTGTGAATATTTTCAATATTGGTCTGTTTTACACTCTTTGAAATTTTCAAAAAAATGGAAACTTCCCATATATGCTTTAGACTACTGAAAATGGTCAAAATGACTGAAATTCAACAGGAAAACAAGTTTTTGTATATATATTTGCCGGGTACTGTATGATAGTGAAATTCCACATTTTTTTTGAATTAAAAACGTTTTTTAAAAAATTCACTTCTTTCAAAATTTCAAATTTAACAAGTGATTCCACATTTCCTACGTTGTAGCATCTATGATTTTTTTTCGATTCGTACAAGTATTCATTTTGATTTCAGATGTGTCATTTTCCTTGATTTTTTGAAAGCACTATTTCGTCGTATTGCTTGAGCAGCGTCCTAGCTTATGTGTGACCATATTTTTTTCTGTTGTGAGATCATTTATTTATTTTCGATTTTTGATTTGTAGTCATGCAATCATTAAAAAAAGCGCCATAGTTTTTGAGACTGAGCCCACTGTAGCGAAAAAAGTCTGGTCAACGACGCGCCAAACAATGCGACGATTTAAAAAGGAACCCTCGTCCCGGATGCCGGCTGGAATCGAGATTCGAATCGTGAACATTGACTTGGAAGCCGAAGGAGCCAGAAGTAGTTCTTCGTCGGATGATCATCCTGCTAATGATTCATCAGTTTGAATTTTTCATTTTGTTGTGAGTTATTTCTGATCTTTTGAATATAAAATCGAATCTCACTTCCTTTCAGATGACGCTATGTATATCTCTCTATCTATCTATATAGAAATCTTTCGAATAGAAGATAAGTCCATTTTTTCAAACCTTCGAATGTACATACACACTTTATCCATTCATTTTTTATTGGCAACGATCATGTTGCTTTGTCCGGCTTAATGATACGCGGTGGTGTATAACACAAATACATACAATAAAGATTATTGGATTCAAAAATGTTTCATAGCTTCTGGTTTTTTATTCGCGTCTCTCTCATCACGTAGTAGAGCCATGTTATCCAAAAAAAAACGGGTTTTTGGAACAGTCAAATGAGCTACATAATCCACTTCTTGCGGGCTAAACCGGTATAGGGCTTGACAATTGGAAAAGGCTATATGTTTTCGTGTTGTTATCCGATTTGGCAAATAAATAGATATTCATGATCAATCATAACTTTTTCCATGGTTGCGAAAGATTGAGGAATAGAAGAAAGTTTAGAATGAAGAAATGGGAATATGGAAAAAAAATAGTAGCAATTTAAAATGGAAGCCGATTTAAAAAATTGAATTAAAAAAAATGTTCCAAGACAAAAAAACATCAAAAAATTCGTTTTTCTCTAAAGGGAAAATACGAGAAGCTTCACTCGAGAAAATACCATAAAACCTGTAATAGAAGGGCACTTAATTTTAAACTTCGAGTCAATTTATCTCGGTTCTTGTCAAAGATATCAAAAAGTTCAACACAAAATGATTATCATAATATCAGAAATAGTTTGTTAATTGACACTATGTTGATATCTTACATATGAATTGAGATTAATAAGCTCAAACTTGGCAATGTGAAAGCTTTTCTATTATATGTTATACGGTATTTCTCCTAAGAGAAAATTATAATCAAAAAATCTTAGCACTGTTTACGTTAACTCAATTTATCATGGTTCTTAGGAAAAATTACAAAAAACTATCAACTGATAAATTGTTCATCATAATTTTTGAAACATTTTTTCAGTTTATCAATTTTAATATCTTTGACATTAATCCAGATAAATTGGCTTCCACTTGACGGTTTTTTGCAAAGTCAAAACCTGAAATTTATTCACAGGAAATGCTATTTTTGCAAATTTGCCGATTTCCAACTAATGCCCATGACTCATACGGAAAAATTCGAAAAACCTCTCAAAAAACTTTCTAATCCCGTTGGTGTTCGTTGCCACGGCATTATACCAGTTTTTTTTTTCTTGCACCTATTACTCATCATCATTTTCCCTTTCCCCCTCAGATACCAAAAAAAGACATGAAAAATGTAGAGCAACTAAAGCCTCCCCCTCGCGCGCGGCCATGTAAAGCGAAAACGAGTAACATCAGGTAGAGAGGATTACTGTGCTTGCGCCTCCCTCTTATGACATTATACTAGCTAGTCGCCTCCGAACTTCATATATTTCATTTATTCCCGTCCTGTCTGTATATCGATACAATTTTGATTGCTGAGAACAGAAAAACGTTTCCCTCCCCCTACTTCACCATGATACTACTATTACGACTGACGCTTGTTGGGTCGCTTATACACTTTTGTGAGTTTGCTTAATTTTTTCAAATTGGCATTCTCTAATTATAGCTCATTCTTGCCTACCAAACCCCTTCTTTGGATATAGTCCAGGTTACGGTGGATATTATGCACCACCAGTAGCTTACAATAGTTTTGGAGGGTTTCCAAGAGTGGGACCGTTCAGAGCAGAACCGCAACGTGGACCAGCCGCGGCTGGTGGTGCTGCTGCCGTGGCACAGAATCCTGTACAACCGAGATTCGCTCTGCAACAAGACGAGGTATTCTTTCATTTTAGAAAGTGGAAATCGTGAATTTAAATATTTGAGATCCGATCTGTGTCTTCCTTGAACTGCGCATCCTTTGCCGACAAATGTCGATGGTCGAATACCCAAGAGGAAGAACTTGATTGGACGACGCTAGCAGAATCACCCCAAGCTGCTCCATTCCTACCAACTTTGGATGTCCAGAATCTTCCAAGTACGTTTTAAAATTTTTTTTCATAATAACGAAAATGGCCATTTTTAGCAACTTTAGAAACTTTTTGATTTTTCTAAAAATAGTTTTCGGTTCCCATCTTGATTTTTAGCCCAATCCGCTGGATCGCTATCTTCCCCTGCTAGAAATGGCTGGGAAAGTGGACAACTGATTTCCGACGCGTTGCCTTGCATGACGACAGGGCTCAAAGTGACAGCTACAGCTTGGAGGAGTAAAGTCGGACCTACTAGTGAGCAGCCGAAACTTCAGGTATGATAATAACAGTTTAGGAGTTTAGGAGGTGTGATTTCCCAAAAAAAATACTATCACTTTTCAAGATTTGTGTGAGAAATTCCAACGAGGAGAAGTTCCCACTCATTAATTGCAACGAATTTGAAATTAGGAATGGTGTCCCAATGTCAGCAGATATTCCAACTCCGAATGATCCGAATCTTCCCACGCAGGTTTTTTTTATAAATCCAACAATTTTTTAAATAGGTGTTAAGATTGTGTTCTCGGGAAACAACTTCATCGCCAAGGAAGGTGGTGCACTTTTCCTTCAAGACATTGTAATTGAGGGATCCCTGAAATGCAATGGCGAGACTTTGGATAGTCATCCGGTGTTGATATCCAATCCTCCATCAAGAGCAAATGATAATGATAAGAGAAGTTTTGCAGAATCAGTGGGATCATTAAAGGTAAAGTCTTCCTAGATAAAATAGCGTTCATGAAAATATGCAAAACGCATTTTCTATTGGTTTTTGGTATTTTCGAGTCTAGTGTTCGGCTGTCAAGTGTTCTATAACTTTGAAAATTATTTAAAAACTTTCATTTTTATGAAATTCCTAGTTTTCAACTATTTGTCGATTTGCGCAAAACACCCATTTTTGACCCGTTTCTGTTCTAAAAATGTGAAAAACAGGTCTCCTTCAGAAATCGACAATTCGCTGAAAAATTAGGAATTTTCGAAAAATTCTGTGAATGCAATGTTTTCCATCTAGGTCTAATTTACACCCTCCCCCGAAAAAATTTCAAAATGATAAAAAAACAAAACAGCCGAGCTCCAGGCTTTTGAAAATTGTCAAAATGACGACACTATATGTATATCATTGGCCAGGGAATCGAAGGAATCCCCGGACTAGAAGCTATTGATGCTGCGGCGTTCCCTGCAAACCTTGATGAGCAAAGAATTGCGATTGCCAGTCTACAAAGATCACTTCAAGGCAACAGTGTAGTTGAACCGAAAGAAATCCAATCCGTGATAACACCAGTTCACCAGCCGGCCGCACAAAATACACAAAATGCTCCAGCTCCACAGAGTGCTCCTCCACAGAATCCCTCATCAGCTGAATCGTTATCATCTGTACCATCACTTTTCGAAAGTTGCCTAGCGTTGTCTTGTAATCCATCTGACTTGAGTTGCAAATTCTGGAGATCATCCGGCAATAATCGGTGGGAAATTGGGACATCGGGTCGCGTGGCAAATCCGCTTACCGGAATCAATCTGCCACCAGGAACAGGTATCATAGTCGACGTTGAAGCTATTCTTAATGCTAATTTCAGCCCAAAAATTCCTGGTCGCCCCATTCTTTGACTCCCATATTAGCAGCTACACCTTGGTGTCTGAATCTTTGAATATTCCACTTCTAGAAGAAGTATACTTCTGTTTCTATGAGTACTATGCGACGGAAGGGCTTTCAATTGCGGTCTGCACTGACAAAATGGATTGTTTCTATAAGAAGAGTGGTCTGACAATGGGTGACGGTTTGAGGGAAAATAAGAAATGGAATATTCGCTGCTCTAAACTTCCGCCAGGAACCTATGAGGTATTATTGCTTCATACATAGGAATTTTTGTTCATGTGATTTTTTTCCAGCTTAGAGTCATTGCTGAAAACGCTGGAGACAATAAAGGAGAGGTCGGCTTTTTACCGATTCGTCTTGCCAGAGATGCCAAGGGACAGCAGTTGATTTGCTGAAAAAGAACTCCTGGAAAAAAGAAAACTTCCAAAATTAATTTATGAATGAATGTATAAACAGTATATCCCATAAATATTCACCCCATATTGTCTTTCTCTCCAAGAACAAAGCTCATTGTTATTTTTGTCTCTTCCTCAAACAATAAATTTTTATGACCATGATGACATGTGGTGGCGGTTCTCAAAACAGATGTGAAAAGCAGATGACCTTTGACAGATGGAACGCGATTGGAAAAGAAGCCAACTGTCTCTTCTTCCTTGTGGAATTGATTTTTATCGGTGGTTCTCGCTTTAGTCTTTGTGGTGAGAAGTAAAATGAGAATAGTTATTTTCTTTTCTATATTTGTATCTGTAACTACGGCAAATGATGTTTCCCTGCCTATGGTTATCACCACTTGGGGTAGTGATGGATTTGCGAAAGCGACTAAAACTGGTGAGCTACAGTAGTCCAAATTTCCAATAAATACGAAATTCTAGCCGTCGATGCTACTCTAGCTGGCGGTCGTATGTTCGGCTTGGTAGAGGGATTGTCAACCTGCGAAGCTCTCCAATGCGACACGACCGTTGGATTCGGAGGATCACCCGATGAGAATGGTGAAACCTGTTTGGATTCGTTGGTTTTCGACGCGTGAGTTTTTGACAAGTTTAAAAGTTTTTTGTCGTTCAAAACAGTTTTATATTTCAGAGAGGGAATGAGAGTGGGAGCTGTGGCCAATCTTCATAGAATCCGAGACGCAGCACGCGTGGCTTGGGGTGTGATGAATTATACAAAACATACATTGTTGGTTGGAGAGTCGGCTACTCAATTTGCTAAGAAAATCGGATTTGTTGAAACTGAATTGACGACTAATGAGACAAAGTCGTGGATTGAGACTTGGAAGAATCAGAAGTGTCAACCGAACTTTTGGAAGGTAATGAATTTTCATACAGAAGTACAGGTTTTTTCAGAAAAACCCGAAAATAGAAAAATGAATTGTTTTTTGAAAACATATTCTTCTGTTTTCCGAAACTCACAGTTGCCTAACAAGCTATAAGAGCTATAAGTTTCAGTACCGGTCAATAAGATTTTAGTTAGATATACAAAAACTAAAATTTCAGTTTGTTTCTGGTGATTTATTCAGCTATATTTATATTATATTCTATATTCTATATTCTATATTCAGAAGTCTAGAGCTCGGCTGTCAAGTCTCCATTCAGTTTAGCATATGTCAGGGATAGCCTATCTATATATATCTAAAATTTTTAGAATCCGAGCGCCAGTTTCAGCCGAGTTATATCGGTTTCAGTATCAAAAATCGCCTTTTCAGTGCAAAACAACAATTTTCAAAGACGCTTTTCTCAAGTCCTATGGTATTTCAGAGCATGAAATGTGTTGTGCTATACTCAAAGTTTCATGAGTTTTGATGTTTCAAACGTTTTCTCAAGAACAAACAATTTTTTATTTCTGAATTTTTT